GGTTTGAACCTAGACATTGTCGAAGTATCAGTATTCATCGGTCTCAATCACTCGGCCACTGCTGAGGACATTTGTTTGATTATTTAACTGTGTTTTTCGCCATTAGGAATTGCATGGAAAGGGAAGAATGTCCCGTAGAAACATTGTTTAAGGGAAGCTGGTTCGTGAAGGAACTTTTAAAGGAAACTGGCTCGTATTCATGTTACACATGAGGAAATCCACGAAAACAACCCATGCAGCCAGCCCGCTTGCCTGGGTTTGAACCCAGACAAGGTCGAACTACCAGTATTCAGCGCTCTTAATCACTCGGCCACTGCTGAGGACATTTGTCTGATTATTTACTATGTATTTCACCATTAGGCACTGCATGGGAAAGGAGGAATGGCCAGTGGAAAATATTTGAAAGAAAAACTAGCCCGTATCTATGTTACACACAGGGAAAATCACGGAAATGCTCCTACAGTCAACACATTCACATATACTTGACTCTCGGACCGAACTACTAGTGCTCAGCCGCTTTTATTGCTCAGCCACTAATGGGGAACATTGCTTACAAAATATGGGTTATTGCCGAGAGGAAGTATTCTGTAACGATTATACAGAATATGGGTTATTACTGAGAGTATTCGTGCTTCCTGTCTTGTTTTTCATACTTATTATTTCATAAGTAATTTTAAGTTCTTACCTGCCTTAACACTATTAAAATATCACAAAATTAGTAACTAAAATTAAAACTTTATTCTATAAGCCTTTTGTTCTGCAAATAAGTGCATGGAATCGCCATAATTTGATCTGCGGTTTGATTTCGGTTGAATCGCAGAACGCTCCTGGCTCACCGATGATCGTAGATATTTTTTAATATGTTTTAATTTAAGACACAATAACACGCTGAACAAATACTAATTCAGAAGTCAAACAACAAAAATCAGCGTTATATTTTCAAAATTTTCACAGGACTAGTTTCGATGGTTTTACCGAACTACCATCCTCAGCTGAGAACCGCAAATGAAAAAGATAGGAAATAATGATTAGATAAGATAAGAAAGCCTGAACAAGAATAAGCAAATGGCGCCATCTGTTGGTGAAACCAGAACTGAAACATAATTAATAATTGAACGTAATTATTCTCCCATCAATAACATTCCGAGATTTTGAAAAGCTGTCTCATCTCGCCTTTCCAGAACGCCCAACAGAAACAAGGAAAATCTTGTTCCTGCGATACTTCATCGACGGCATCCGGGATCCTGAAATACAAAAAGCTCTACAAATGACTGAAGTCAAGGACATAAGGACATAAAAAGCGCTCTGTGTACTCCATGAAATTTGAGGCAGCCGAGCAAGCAACTTGTAGGGACCGCCACCCAGAAGGTTAAGTAATGGCTCATTTAGATGATTTAACCTGACAACTCAATGCCTTGAGATGGAATAGGAGTAACAAGAAACCAACTCAATGTGCTGGAACTGTGGTGCTTGGTTCAGTACGAATAAAGTGTAGAACACCACAGGGCATGTGTAGAAGTGTAGAACACCACAGACCGTTCCCAGGAAGAAGAAGGGAAACTCCATGGCCATCTCAAAGAGTGCAGGTTGCCATATAATGAAAAGTTCCGTTTTAAAAAGGTTTAGATTTTTGCAATGAGTGGCATTAGTAATGGACTCTTCATCATTAGACACATCAATGGAGTTCTTTGGAATATAACCAGTGATACAAGAGCCAAAGGCCAAAGTTATGATCATCCAAACAGATTAAGCTTAATAGCTGGAAGGTAAAGTCATCTAGACACCGCCCCATTTTGTGTACCGGAATAAAATCAACATCGATGGGAAATTAAACGTTAACATCGTGTTTGGAAGTGGCATCTAACATTACACGCAATACGTAGCAAATATTACAGACCCTTGCATACTCGGATTAGACTTTCTACAAAAATACAATTTTTCTTTGGATTTTTAAAAATAACGAACTGCATTCTGCCGCTGAGGACATAATGCTATTTGGAATTGATGATGAAAGAATAAAATCTGCCCACCAAATCATAGCTCAAGACTACATCATAGTACTAGGAAGAACAGAATTTTTACTTCTTGGATTCATAGCCGTAAACAGAAATTTCTGGTACGGTGTAATGGAATAACCCAAGAACTGTGACACACCGCGACGAGTACTATTAGTTTCAGCACCCATCGACTTATCGAGGACAGTTACCAGCGTTAGTGATAAACAAAAAATCATTAGAAAAGGTGAAGTGGTTGCAGCATGACTCCCTGAGACTCTAATATCAAAGCTACTGCAAAATGCATGGCTAAGTGATGAAGAGAGGACTGTTGCCGAACGTGTCTTTCAAGAAGTTTTTCTCTCCCTAGTCTTCGAATGTAGGTCGAACCTGTGTCGACCTACATTCGAAGTGTGAATGTAGTCACATTCTACTGCGACAGTAAGTTTTCTGTGCTGTGTCAGTTTGACAAAGCACAGAATTAATACTAGGGATCATCCACCAATCAAACAATAGGTAAAATGTCTATTACCAGTTTCTAAACAGGAAGCGGTAGAAAAACTTCTAAAGGACAAGCAAGAAAGTGACATTATCCAGCCTTCCAATGGGCATCTCCCATCATCCTGGTCAGAAAGAAAGATAGTTCAAGTACATTTTGCGAAGCAAGTGATTTTTGACTCTTGATTTAAAGAGTGGATATTCACGCAGGTACCTGATAACCAAGAAAAGGCAGCTTTTACTACGAAGCAAGGAATTTGGCAGTTGAAGGTGATGCCGTTTGGACTATGTAAGTGGCCAACGATAGCCCATTGCCTAATGGAGACAGTGTTAAGAGGTCTTTCCTACAAAGCCCTATCTGATATACCTGGATGACATCATTGTAGAAAGAGTTTTGAAGAACATTTAGAAAATCTTAGAAAGGTGATTCAGAAATTGATAGAAGCCAATCTAGAAAGTTATTCAGACAGTAAGTGACTTATCTTGTGTTATAAAATTAACAGAGTAATGGCTAATTGAATTTTTAGACTTTATTAACAAAAAAAGGTAAAGAAAACTTACGTATGTCTTATTGTTTACATGATAACTTTTAGAATGACGAAAATAATAGTGATGCCAGATGCATAAAACATAAAAATACAACAAAACAATGATGCCACTGAAATTGCATATTATATCAATTAAATGCTCGATTCTCAATAGCCTCCTTCGAGCATGAAAATAGTCATTGTTCATATAGATTAACCTTTATTGACTGTTTTTACACCAATCAAGTTCTTCTGAAAATGAAACTGAGGTGCTGGAAGCGCCTTCGTCAGAATGTCTGCTCGTTGTTCATTACTTCTGACATAGCCTAATTGAAAATGTCCCTTCGAGAACTCGTCTTGCACAAACTTGTACCTTTGGTTAATATGCTTTGTGCGTGCGTGGAACATTGGATTTTGATGTACTTGACAGTACTCTGATTATCAATTTGTAGGATAGGCAGTGAGACATTATTAGCTATCTCATTGAACAAGCCCTTCAACCATATCAGGTCTTTCGTGGCATCAGCTGCTGCCATGAACTCTGTCGTTGAACTGGATATGGCCTCCTGTAGCTTGCTTCACCACGTAATTGCGCCTCCACCATAGAAAGGAAATAACACTCGTTTCAAGACCTGCGTGTTTTGCACAGCTGTTGTTATCTGCGTCACTAACACCATCAAACTTCTATCATCTTCATTATTGTCCACAATGCCGTGCCCTATAGTGTTGTGAAGGTATATTAATGTTGTCTATGATTTCCCAATCAATCTCTGCAGGATTGTTCAGCTTTCGAGACATCAAACTCACTGCACAGGCAATATCCGGTCGGTTTCCCATTGCCAAGTACAGCAAACTGCCAACTACTGATCGGTGTGGAATTCACTGCTGAGAGGCCTAGCCTTTTTGATCTTGATCATGCCATCGTCATTTGGTTGACCATACTCGACCTTGAGACTCGACTTCTTTACTGGGATGTGTGATGTCTTAGCATCTCCATATTGCTTGCAGATTTTACATTACACCCAGAGGGGCATTCTTTTAACATTTTGTGTGTTACCTTTATTTATTAAATATCATGTTCTTCACATTTAAACCATAAAATTCAGCCTATTTTTAGAATTTCTGATACAGAGTTGTATGCGCTGAAGATAAAAAAAAAAAAGTTTTACCCCTGTACAGTGTTGCCATTGCTTGCTTTAAAATCGTCGAGTTTGTTAATAAAAAATTCATTGAAGTGTTACAAAATATGAAATCGATAATAAAACAAATTTCAAATTCAAATTTGGGCTTCCACATGCCCATATTCCATGGAAGATTACGTTATTCAAATTTTGATGGCTCTAGGTACCGTTATTTTATCACAATGCGAGAAACATACATATATTCATGTAGATTCTTCATTATTTAATTTCTTTAAATATAATACAGAGTAATAATATTTGGTGGCAACAATTTAAAAAGGTGAATCAATGTTTATAGTGAATGAATGCAAAATGCCAAAACGAAATTAATAGCCCTGGGCAAATTGCCCCTTTTGGATTTAAAAAAAAAAAAAAAAAAAAAAAAAAAAAAAAAAAAAAAAGGCAACAGATAGTAAATGATTAAATTCATTGTCTCACAAGTTTTCTAGCTCAGCAGTTTGTTATCTCAAGAATCACAAAACATGCTTCACAACTGGCATTCCCTCTGTATGTATTTTCATATCAATGAACCCTTATGTTATAGAAAAAAGGGCATTGTAATGGAATGGTCCTATAATAAATGTAGACTCAATTAAAATTGTTTAAAAATTTTATTTTTATGCTTCCCAAAATAATACCCATTATCTGTATCTTATTCAAGTTTGGTAAGGAAAAAGGTCCACTTTATACCATAATTTTGTAATATCTTTTAATGTGCATTTTTTTGTCTTACACGCATTCATATTCCTACTCATAACCTACATACACTAAAAAATATATAAATACAATAAGACAAAAAATTAATCATAAATAAAAAATTTTAATCATAAATACACTTCATAAGTTTACATTCATAAATTTTGAGCAACAGATGGCAGTGTTTCATCTATAAATATATACAGTATATTTATTCTCTTTCATTCATTTACACAGCATTTTTCAATCTACACAGCACAAAAAGCAGGAGCAAAAATCTGAATTATGAAATGTAACCCCCTAGAAATATTTTACTTATGCTTTTAGTTCAATATAATTTTTTTCACATTAGAAATAATGTACTTTATGTTATACAAATAATTAGCAACATAATACAATATTATGTGTTAATAAAAATTAGCTATAAACAGGACCATATTTACACAACTACATATTTACATTCAATACTTTGCTATTTCAGCAAATGCAATAATAGATAATAATTTTGAAAGAATGCTACACATAAATCTCAGACTGTAAATTTTATATGAATAAAAGTTAAATTTTACAGTTTTACATAAATAAAGATGAATCACCTATTATAAATCATTTTCTTCTCCCAAAAGAATATTAATGAAAATTCAAAGAATGTAACATAATGTAAACATGAGAAAGGACATGCTTTAAATATTAAAAGTATTGTTCAAATATGACTATTCTATTTTCTAGTTTTCAGTAATGCAAAGAATGATAACTTTAAAATAAATAACTACCCCCCTAAAAAAAGCCAAATGTGCATAATAATTAATATACAGATATCAAAGATAAATTTAAATTCTGTAAAAAAGTATTCTTTGTATGCAAATGCTGAAATAGACTAGATATAAAACAAGATTCCTGTACTTAATATTTGTCAACATTTTTAGACTTAGTTGTATTCATAAAAATCTGAATTAAAGTGTTTTCATAAAGATTTTAGCTTTATCCAGTTGAATATCTGATTCAGAATATGACAGAAAGGGGGTTATATTCCACATCAATGCATTTTTCAATACTTTCTTTACAATATTATTCAGAATATTAAAATTTTAAAATGAAACCTAGATTATCTGAAGTACAGAAAACCTGAATACAAAAAAATCTTTACATGACATTCCAATAAAAACAAACACATACAGAAAATTCTTTACAAAATATACACAATGACATTATACTATCATTTACAGTTTTTAATTTCATTTTCTCCCTATTTAAAAAAATCCACAGCAAGATTTTAAGGCACATTCTCCGACAGCAGAGCTGCACATGAAATTGAAGTCAAAATGATGATGCACTGTTCGTAAAAATGAAGACTTGCAACACAGTATTCATAATAAATAAAAATAAATGACTGCTGTACAGATGAATTATGGCAGATGTCATATTTTGAAAGACTGTTTTTATAATGCTTAAAGCAATCTCCCACGACAAGTCCTTGCATCACAATGACAGCGCATAACTTTACCACTAACACTACCAACTTCATAATTATAGTCCCAGGTCAGTTCTGTTCCAGCTGTAATATAACTAAGGGGAAGATTTGGTAAGATTTAAAATATTCACAAAATTCTAATTCATAAGCAAAATATATAAAAAGTTTATATTTTAAACTTTTTATATATTTTGCTCTAAAATTTATTTTGGGTGTGACTGTCTTTTACATAGTACAAATAAAATAACAAATAACTCAACCAGTTTTAGAGGAATATAAGTTTGTTATGGAAAGATTATCTTGAAATAATTTTTATCAGAAGGAATGAAATAATCCAAATATTCAAAAGGTGGTCGTTGAATTCCCAGATTTAAATATAAAGTATACAGAATCTGTGATTTAAAGATATTACTTGGAATATGGTTTTAAAATATTATAGCAAAAATTATTTGTGGCTGAAATACTAATACAGTCAAAAGTCTTTAATCCGGACTCGTCGGGGACTTTGGCGATTCCGGATTATCGATTTTTCTGGATTATAGATCATCAGTTTAAATCTGCTAAGATGGCATGCAGAAATTATAAAATTAAAAATATGAAACCGTAATTTGTGAAATAAAGAACAATTACGATCTAAAGGGTATCAAACTTTACAAAAAGAAAAAGCTTAATATTTATTTGTTTACTTTATTAACATTTCTTTTAACGCGCGCATGCGTAAAGCATACCTTACGCATAGCCGAAATTAGAAAATTGCAACCAGAAAACTTTGATTTGTTTTCGTGATATTTATAATGACGAGGATCTTGATTTAAATCATATCAAAGACGGAGTACATCGAGATTAAATACTACATTTAGTAAGGAATTATAAGGCGAATAAAATAAAAACATCTGCCCTGAAGATAACGATAGTGCTGACAGATCAACTTCCAGTTCATTGCGCGCCGCGATGTATCCCATTAAGTGTTGGGGGCTGACAAAAGTAGCATCATTTCAAAAGTTGTGCTTTATTTGCATTAAAAACCAAATAACAGTCTAAAATTGTCTTGTACACTGTGCAAAATAAAAACAGGACAGTTCTATATCTCACGTTCCACTGGGCCGATTGACGAAATTCAAATTGTGTTTGCACAAAATTGTACTTTTTCTGAAATAACATGCCATTTTTTTTACATATTTCGATTGTACGTCTCAAATTATGCCAGACTGCCAAGTTTTGTAAAAATCGCATGAGTAGCTTTTACAAAATTAGCTTTCAAAATTTTAGTTGCTCCAATGTTAATTGAATTTCGTATACAGTACAAAGTCTGTAATCCGGACATTTATTGTCCGGAATGATCTATAATCCGGACCTCAAAGCCACAAACTTTTTTTTTTGTACGCTTTACGCATGTGCATTTAATATTACGCATGCACGTTTAATGTTTACGCATGCACATTTAGCACAAAAAATGAAGCAACTTAAACAACTGACATTGAAAGAAATGTTTAATAAAGTAAACAAATAAATATTAAGCTTTTTTTTTTTTTTTTTGTAAATTTTGATACCCTTAAATCATAATTGCTCTTTATTTCATAAATTACAATTTTATATTTTTAATTGTATAATTTCTGCATGCCATCTTACCAGATTTAAATTGATGATCTATAATTCAGAAAAACCCTTAATCCAGAATTGCCGAAGTTCCGACGAGTCCGGATTACGGACTTTGCACTGTATATTTATTACTGTACTTTGTACTGTATATTATTAATATCTTTCTTTAATTAAACTTCTTTTTATTTTTCCTTTCACATTTCAAAATCATTCCAAATAAAATTTGCCCATTTTTTATGATTTATTTTTTAAATTTGTATTTTTAAAAATTTTTTATAAATTTTTTGAAATGCATTTTGAATTACAACCTATAAAAGTTTTGGCATCATCTTAAAGTAGAAATATTTCTAAAAACACCTGCAAAAAATTACAGTTTTTTTATTCAAAATTTCCTAGGATATACGTGAATTTACGTATTGGCACATTTTGAAATCTGGCATATTTGTTATAAGTGATAATAATGCCAAATGTGGTTTACGCACTTTGTTAAAGTTATTTGAAAGTATGAACAATGACTTTTTTCCCACTCATGCACAATGTAAAAAGGGAAAGGAAAACAGGTTGCTATATATTAAGAAGTTTACCAAGTGAACTATTCTTGATGCAAACTGAAAAAACAATCTGCCAACATAAAATCTTGAATTTCTCTGTAAATTTAGCACCAAACTCCACTAAATTTAATATTTAGGCATAATTTGAGTTGCAGAATCGAAATATGTAAAAAAAAATTGGTATATTTTTTCAGAAAAAGTCTGATTTTGTGTCAAAATAACTGTGTTAGAACAGTGCTATATATAAATATAATATATATCCTAAGTCGCACTTTCGAGACATGAAAAACGCAATTTGAATTTGTCAATCGGCCCAGCAAAACGGTAGAACTGTCCCATTTTTTTCCGCAGTGTACAATTAATATTGATGATTTGAATTACATTATGAGTAAATTCAATTGTTGCCAGTAAGTAAATCGAATGTCTTGTGTCAAACAGTTCATTACAGGGTGTCAAGGGGGTCTTCCTCCTACGTTGAATTCTCGTCTTCAGCTAGAGGGCCATTGCTGCACATGCTCTCACAACCACATATTGAAGAGCACTGAATGCCTGCCTTATGGCATGCACAGTGTGTACCGCAGTCTTTGGTATAGCTGCAGATTATTGTTGATAGGAGAGCAGCTAGGGCAGCATGACGCAAGGTACGCTAGGGTTGAAGTTCTTAATCTGACCCTCTCATCCAACCACAATCAGTAGGTGGCAATTTGTTGCCCAATCATTGCTGAACTTGTGGATAGACTTTGTATGAGTGTTGCAGAGCAGAGCTTTTAGTTGGTGGTAAAGAGAGGAGGTCTGGCCTCACCTTTGTGGTGGATTTATTTGGAAGGCTCAGTAGTGCTGTTTGTCCAAGGGCGACTCTGACATTGTACATTGCTATTAACATATGTTCCCCTGCATCTGTGACTTTCTTGTGTGTTGAAGTATTAGTATAAAAAACGTGGGAAATGGAATATGGGCTGCTGTTCATGAATAATTTAGCAATCGATGGCTTGCCTTTTTGGAAAATTGCACAGATTGTATCACAGCTGCTAAAACTGTGAATGAACAAGATGCTCTTGGCAAAGTCATGTTCCTGCGATTCCATGGAGGAGTTCTGCTTTCCTCATTCCTCTTCTATGGTTTGAAAAATTTTCTCTCTTGCTCCCTTGGAACTAAAGCAATCAGCAATACAAGCAGATCCATAACCTCGCCAATCACAGCAGTAGAATAATCATATTCTGCTTTTTCCAATGCACACTTCACTATCATTTATTTTATCAGCTTGTCTGACTCCAGTTTCCTCAGCAATAATTTTCTGAGTCAGCATAGTGATGAACCTGGTCTTATTTTTTCGTTACTTAAAAAGTGTTGTTGTAGAAGCTGTCACTGTCATCTCTTCAGTAAAGTCAATATTGACTGATGCGGTGATGATAGTGGTTCCATGTTTTTGTCCTGCATATTTTGTGCTTGTCAAAATAATCAAAAATGACTGCATGATTCACCATATTGTTTTTTAAATGTAAATCACATACTGATTAAATATCACTGAGGAGGTTGATCCTTCATCCCACCTGACTCGATGTAGAAGGAATATGCCATCAATCACATTAGTGTGAAGTTTGAGGTCTGGAGTAATAGGGCTAAACAAAGAAAATATCATATAATGCAGACATCTGTGTCTCTCACATCCCTTTTTTATTAAACAGAGATAATGGATGAGGCACCAGTTTGTAACGGAGATCTTCTAGATCCTTGTCTTTCTCCTTGGAAATAGCTTACTTGGTGGAATATTGGAAGAGGATCAACCACCTCCACAACATTGTCAATTTAGATAATACTGCTCAAGGAAGCCAATGATGAGACTTCGTGTTTTTGAGCCTGTTTTATCTCCTCAAAATTTTACCCTATCACTTTCCTCACTGTAACCTTGCCTTCTTGTAGGCCTCTGCGGTAATTTACATCATGGTAGCAACGGCGCCTGTGTGCTGAGGAGGCGAAAAAAATGAAGATTTTCTTTCTGTCATCATTCATCATCTTTTTTCAGCCGATAATCTACAAAGAAGGCTTTTGAATGCTGGAATATGCAATTTGACATAGCATCCAAACTTCAGAAGCTCATAGATCAGCAACCATACGTCCTAGGACAAAAGTGCATAAGACCATTTTTATAGGAAAGTGTCTCAGTTTTATATATGGAGTATTTTTCTGTAGGAGTGATGGTTTTTGAGATTTAAGCAAAACACTGAAAAAAGGGACCTTTATCCCTCTCCCTCCACCAGCTCTCCCCACTTCCTGTGACTGTTGAAGCTTTAATTGATGGGATTTTTAAACACTCATCAACCCAAGTCTAAAGGAAGTGTTTAAAACCATTTCCAAAATGGGATTTTTTCCACCAGTTGCCCCCCTTTTTTGTCTAAGTTGACTGGGCTAAAATTTAAATTTCATGCAAAATGCATCTTCTTTTTTTTTTTTTTTTTTTTTTTTTTTTTTTTGGGGGGGGGGGAAGATTAATAGTACTTTTCTAACTTCTTCATAAATAAACATTTTTTAACATTGTTTTGAAAAAAGATCGCAGGTGGAATAGTTAGAGCACTTCCTGAAAGGACAGAATTCAGAGTAGTCACGAACTGTTAACATTTATGTGTAGTTTATTCCTAGATCCTCATCACAAGCAAACTATAAATCATTGTCATTAGGGCTGCCTGCCATTTAAAGATAGTTTGTGGTGGCTATTTCTCGATAATCTTGACACCTTTTAAAATACAAGGGCCATAATAATAAGGAAATACTGATTATTCCTATCAAAGTCGTGTCCATAGTTCAACCTACTACAAAATGAACAATAATCTAGCTTTATGCAAAGAGTTTCTGATAGGAATATTCAAGTGCAGGTTTCTTTGAATGCTGCTCATGATAAGGTTCCTATTACTGTAACTTGAGTTTTCAGCTAATAAATTGAGATAAACTAGTGTAATTAAGTTTTAAAGAACTCTCGGCATTTTTGAATGAACAACAAACTTTATTACTCAAAACTAACAGAATAACTGAAAAAACATTTTTAACCCATTAACTGCCAAATTTTATTTTTTTTATTTCTGTTAGTTTACATCTAAATAATAAGAAAAACATGTTTTTCTCATAAATGTGTCAATTGTTTTTCAGAAATTTTAAATTTAAGTCCGATCCCCAAATGGGGATCATGTCTGATACTATCTACTTTTAATGCCAGCGTTCAAAACAGTCTGCGTGTAATCTAACATTACATTTTCCACATTGTTTTCTTGCATTTGTTTTGCACACTGCACATTTTCTTTGTTTACCATTTTCGGTCCGTTCAATATAATGGTTACAAGATATTCTGATAACAGAAGGAACACGATTAATTGATGCTTTAGTGAAAGAATTCCTTCCACCCATTTTTGCATCTGAGAGTTCTGAAGATAAAGCAAGATTTTATCATTTGAAATACAATACAGTGTGTGGGCATTAACCAGTGTTACGTTGATGGCATTAGTAAGCAAAGGAAAGTATCATTTCCCCCCCCCCTTATTCTGATTCTGTATTTTTGAACATTCCAGTCCATCTTGTCTACTCCACCCATGTATCTGTTATATTCTGATATCAGTTTGGGTAATGGTACTTGAATATTTTTCTTCTCTGTTCTACTCCATCACTTCACCTCTGATATTGGTTTGATAGTTTCATGATTGGATAAGAAGCCTTACACAACTGTTGTCATTCCACATGACAGCTAAAATTTCATTACGGGAATCAAATCTGTAGTCATATGCCCCGTGTTCTTTTTTCCTTATATCTTTGTCTGTTGCAATAGGGCATTTGTTCATTCTGTTGAATCGAACAGTTCCTGTTGCTCTAACATCAATGTCCTGCAAATGTTTCATCAGAGAAAATCCTGTGAAAAAATTGTCGAAGTAAACTTTATGAGCATTTGGTGTCTGAAGAATAGGTATCAGATGTCCCAAGGACAAAAGATGTCCCAAGCTCACTGATGCTTTCATCATCTCCTAATGTCTTTGATTTGCCTTCATACACTTGAGTCTGATAACAATATCCAGTCTGTGAACAACAGATAGCCTATTGTTTGAACCCAAACCGCACTGGCTTACCACATATAAATTGTTTGAGGTAGTGATGTCCATAGTAACGAACCATTTGTTCATCAATGCTCAAACTTTCAGAAAACACCCCAAATTGTTGAAATTTGTCATTCAGCTTGTCAATCAATGGGCGAATCTTGAAGAGGTTATAACGTTCCTCTAGTGGAATCCTTTTTAAATCGGAGTTGCCTTTAATATGCAGGTACCGTTTAATTTCCAGATACCAATTCCGACTCATGCATGCTCTAACACACAGAATGTTCATGTCTTCATCTTCACACCAATCTAAATGTTCTTGCGGAAGTGAATGACAGCCAGTGAAAAGAAGTATTCCAATAAATTTTTTTAGGCAGTTATTAGAAAGCTGAAATTGATGATTGTTTTTTTGTCTGGTGTATATTACAGACTGCTTGGACAAAATAGGTAACAGTTTCATTATCAAGAAGTATTTCAAAACACTCTACCAGGGAGCTTCTCTGAGGTTTCTAATGACATCATTTCGTCTTGTCTCCAAAACGTCAGAATTTTCATATAGTTTTGAGTACTTAGGTTGCTTCTTTTTCCAATTGGAAGTCAATACTTCTTTTCTCTTTTTAGCAGGTGGTAGGCCAGTTTTTTTTTTTAACAATTTTAGTCAGTATCAGCCATGATCCCCAAATGGGGATCGATATATCTAGGTTCATTTGTACCCATCCAAATAACAGTATGAGGATAAATAATATATAAATATATTAATTACTTACCAATGATCAATGGAAATTCAGAACAATAAAAATAATTGTTCCTAAGTAACTTTTTTGTGCTTTGAAAATAACTGTATTATTTTTCTCGTGAAAAGTAACGAGAGAGCAAGAAAAATAAACTCCTGAGCTCAACTAACTGAGTCCATGTGTTTGTTTAAGATTTCTACCCTTAGTTGCAATCTTCAGGAAAGCATGACCACCCGTAAGCATGACGTCACAATGTATACAAATGTAGGCGATCCCCATATGGGAATGGCTTACGTGCATGCATCATCTGTGGATAATCGTCTGCAGTAATTTACATTTCTTAGTGCAATTATGTTGGTAGTGTAGCGTAGCAACGCAAATACGTTACACTAGGCATATGTATGGGCATCAATTAAATCTTCAAAAACTGCTTCTAACCCTAAAGCCAAGGCCTTCACTTGCCTGCTTGTTTAATTCAAATTCCTTATGCTTCAAATTCCATTTCAGATTCATAATTTCTTCCCCCTAGTTCATTAATGAACAAAGACGTGCAGAAGTTTCAAATGATATCAATTCTAGCTCCTAACAAAAGAGTTTCAATTAGCCACTGAATGCGTACTATATCATCTTAAACCTAATGATAAGGAATCACAAAAGAATCCTTTTACAACAAGACTGTCTACAATAAAGATGAACTTATGCTTTGCATCTGGGGAAACTGCACCTTAAGCTATTGTGTATTTTATGAAGAGAGTAAAAAACACAGTATGTGATCTCTGCCGTTGGTCATTTAAATGAAACGCTGTCTTGGGCATTTTGGCCATGAGAGAATTAAAAAATACTTAATCTCATCTGTGATGAAATGTAATTTCTGTGTATATCTTAATCTAAAATCCTCATGTGAGAGCAAAGAGTCCACACTGTGCAAAGAAAAGGCATAACACCTACATTTGGATCATATAATTAGTCAGGATATAATGCTACATAAATTACTTAAATTTGATATTACTTAACAACATTAAATTTTTACTTCAAGAAATCGGTGTTCATTTAATTACATTATTTACAGTACAAAGTCCGAAATTCGGATGCCCATTATCCGGAATGATCTAAAATCCGGACCTCGAAGCCACAAACTTTTTTTTTTTGTATACTTTATGCATGCACATTAATTTTTCCTTTCATTAATAAAACATGTGGAGATTTTCACTTCAAAATTCTGATTCTTAATTTCACTTAGGCACTAAATAAAATACATCATTGTGAAAAAACAATCATGTAAGCATAAACTTATGAGATTAATAATTTGGCTTCACAGCTGAGTATCTGCTTGGCATTACATGTCAAACCGAAACATTCACCTATTTTATGTCCCTGACGCCGACCTGTCGAATAATTATTTATTATATTTTGCTTTCATCACTGCATGTTTATCAATACATGACAGCTTCAGTAATAACTCATGCAGTGATGTCTAAACTTTTTTTTATATTAGTAATTGAATAACAAGAGTAAGGCAACCTTTTCTGCTAACATTACGCTTGGCAATGATCACAGATTTTTTAAATGCTCTAAGAAATGTTGATGAGGAAAAATTCAACAAAAATTTCTTTTTATATGCTAAAAATAGATTTTGTTAAAGAAACTCACAGGCCAAAAGATTACATTTAGTGCTATTTTAATTAAGAATAACTGATATGTTATTCACCATAAACCCAGAAGCGGCGGTAGAATATGGCTGCACTGGACGGCAAAATTTAGGGAAGACACAATTCTTGGAATTTGGGGAAGCACCGAGCAGCAAAATTAAGGGATGAGAAGTTTTTTATAATTTAGGAGGGGGGAGTACCGAGATCCAAAGTTTAGGTGCGGCGAAAATTTAGAACATAGGAAGGCGCTTTGTAGCAGAATTTATAGACTGCACCAGGCGGTATCTAGCGCTGGCCCTAGATAAAGCCTTAAGTATAAGTGGGAGTTTATTTATTCAGGACCAGGATTAGTTTTAAGCATGTGCAAGAAATAAACATAGGTATAGTGAATAACTAAACTAATACAATTCAGGCTTAGTTCAATACGCAATAGGAGCAAGACAAAATTTAGCAGAACAACTTGGCTTTCGTCAGCAATCTTGTGATACACAGCCAGTAATGTATAACGGACACTATTTAGGTAGGCTAAAATTATCTTAACGGATTCTAAGGCATTTCATTTAATGTAGCAGACTGCGCTGCTCCTTAATCTTCTAATTTGATCCTCCTTATTATTTTTTGCAAACTGTTATTATTACAGCAATTTTATAAAAATTAAGCTTGAACTTTCCAATTCTGGAGTTGCCAAAGGATCTACAAAGCGTTTACACATGTGCGTTTAATGTATAACGAACGGTATAAGCTAAGCTAAAATTATGATTATCTATTTCATTTAATGTTCAGATTGACTTTGTTCCTTAATCTTTCACTGGATCCAGCTTAATTTTTTTGGCAGACTGTTACACAATTTTATAAAGTAAGCTTGAACTTTCGATTATTCCAAAGAATTCCGATTCTGAGCTACCAAAGGATCTACAAAGCGAAAGCATGTTTCGATGTCCATTAAACAAAAAGTGGAATTGCTCCAAAAAATGGATAAAGGCATATCCATCTCAAAATTATGCGAGCATTGGAAAGTCAACTGTATATGACAAAAGAAAAAGGAACTTAAACAACTTGCATTGAAAGAAATGTTTAATAAAGTAAACAAATAAATATTAAGCTTTTTTTGCAAATTTTGATACATTTTAGATCATAATTATTTTTTATTTCATAAATTATGATTTCATATTTTAAATTGTATAATTTCTGCTTGCCATCTTACCGGATTTCAATTTATGATCTAATATCCGGAAAAATCCCAAATCTCTGAAGTCCAGACAAGTCTGGATTTCGGACTTTGTACTACAATGTTAAGAATTCAAACAGTGAAATAACAAAGCAATTTAATTAATAACTGTACTTACTGTTGGGCAAAAAATGCTACAGTTGGAAATCTTAAATCATATGTATCATAAAAGACATTCTGCACAAATACGTTAGGAGAACAGCTATGCTAAAGAAGAAAAAATCAGAATGATTATAATATGATCTAGAGACATAATATACATAGCATATTAATAGTAAACTACTCTGTATATTATGTCAATTGTAGACACAATATACAAAGTATCATAAGTATATATAATATACTCAACTATGCTGAAATTTTTTAGACACACATCAAATATTTTTATATAAAAAATGCTTCTTATAATCTTCTAAGTCTTTTACCAATATTATAACATAAATAAGTGCATTTCAATGCAACAATTATGAGTTTTTTTACAGCATAATTTCTGTTCCACCAATTTCCCTCAGAATATGAATATTCAAAATTTCTCTTATAATAGCAAAATATTCACATGAAACTTTTCTTAGTTTAAAGCAGTCTATATGAGAACATTTGCTGAAGCCCCAAAATAACAGTAACATAAAAGAAAAGTAAGAATTATAAAAATATACTAATCACATAATTATCATAATAATAAGTTGGACTGACTATGGGATCAAACCTTTCTTTCCTAAAACCTGTATTAGGTGGGAGGAAGTATTCAACAACAGTGAGGACAAGAGTGATTGTTTTAGGAACTCAATGAAACTAGCCCCAAAAATACAGATTCATCCAGTACCTGGGAGGTGGACTTTTTCAACTTTCTAAGGACAACATGAGGAGTGGCCATCTGCCACACTGCCCATCTGAAGGGCTCTTTACTAGGAACCCAGCACTTAAATGTTCTTTTCTCCAAATTGAGGGCACCTGAATAATGCATCGTAATGATCATAATAAATAACACTGTAAAAGGAAGAGGTCATCTTCGAAAACTGGTCACACTGGAACCTTAGAAGAAATGAATGATGAGTATAAAAATGGGGCAAAAAAATAGGTTTGTTAGATATTGGATAAAAGTTATTACAAAATAATATGGGGGAAAATAAAACCTGAAAGCTTTCATATTTTATATTACGCACAAAGGGATTTTTTTCATTTAAACAAACATACATGTTTCTAGAGCATTTGGGCTAAAAATATTTAAAAACAACATATCTTTAGAATTTTCCAATAGAAATCTTAGGTGGTGGATATAATGTTTTATTCTGTACAGTGTTGCCACTTCTTGCTTTGAAATTGTTGAGTTTTTTAACCAAAAATTCATTAAAGGTTTTACAAAATATGAAACAGATAATAAAACAAATTCAGGCTTCCAGGTGCCCGTGTTCGGATGGAGGATTACATTATTCAAAATCTGATGGCTTTAGGTACCCTTATTTTTTCACAATGTAAGAAACATACATACATTCATACAGATTCTTCATTATTTAATTTCTTTAAATATAATATAGAGTGATACTATTTGGTGGAAACAATATAAAAAGTAATGCACCATTTATAGTGAACTGATGCAAGATGCCATTTTGAAATTAACAGCCCTTCTGGGCTAATGCTACTTTGGGCTTAAAAAAAATCTAATATTGATATTTGTAAAAAATTTAGCTGTTATTCATTTAGAACATGATTAGATTTGTTTCATATAAATAAATTGTATTGATTGCACAAATTCTGATATCCTACTTTTTTTAGAGGACTTGCAGTTCAATTATTCCACTATATAATACCTTAAAAGCATTAGATAACTGATTTGCATTACTGAAACCTTGAATGAAATGTCAGCTTACATTCAAGTATCTTCCAATATTTCCCTTGCACTTTGCATCCATGATATAAACTGATTCTTCTCCATAATAGCTGCGCACTGATTTAAATTTACGCACCTTTGGAGTAGGCATAAGAGGAGTCATAGGATGCTTCATACTGACCGATTTTCTAGCAACATTTTTTGGACCTGAATCATCTGAAAAAAAGGTTATTAATTAATATGTATGAAGCTTGTTTACCATAAGAAACTTGTTTTAGTTTTAAAAAAAAGCGAAAGAGAAAAGGGGGGAGAGAAAGAAAAACAATTCAGTCATAAATTACAAACAGAACTACAAAACATTTATGCAATACTCAGATTAATAGTTATCACTAAATATATTTTTCTTCTTTTTACAAATTAGGAGGTTGTAAAATAATGTTTTTGAGAAATTTTCTGCTCTTACTTCTACTGACATTTTCATGAGTAATATATTTTCATTCTAAAAGTTCAATAAAATGGCCAGACTAAAACTAGGTTTAACAAAAAGTCGCTTAAAATGTAACCATTCTTTTTTTTTCCCTTTCTCACTATCCTTTTAAAAAATCCTATGTGCATTCTCATAGACCGAAAATAGCAACTGCCCTTTTAAGTCTACAACAGCGAACTACCAAAACTTAAATTGTACATTCTTCATTAGAAGTTCAAACAACAGTTATTAGTGTTAATTTTTAGAACTTGCAATACCATTTTGAAGGGTTTTACTTGAGAAACCAGCTTCTTCAGTTGCAAGAGTGAAAATGATGAAAGACCAGCTTGTGGACATGTGATACTAGGGAAAACAATAGACTATAAAATTCAAAGTTACAATAAAAAACGAAAACTGCTTGTGCCATCTACTGAGGGAAAATGAAGCCAAAACTAGGAAATAATTTCTTTAAAAGCTACGAGTAAATTCAAATTGGAATTTGGATGATTAACTAGAACTGAAAGATTTTTTATGAATGTGAAATATCTCTAAAAAATCTAGTTCACTAGTAGAAGAAGTTTTTGAATAATATTGGCTATGGAAAAATGGAAAATATGATTTTTTTTTGTCCAACAGTGTCAAGCAATTGAGGATTTTTGTGTTTTCCTCTTCCCCTAACATCAGCAGTAGCTTGTCTTTCGTCATTTTCACTCTTGCGGCTGAAGAAAAAGGTTCTATAGTAAAAACCTTTTAAACTAGTTCTGCAAATTCTAAAAAGTATACTGATTACTGTTGTTTGAACTTCTTATAATTGTAATATGGTATTTTACTTTAATATATATTTTTTGTTTTGTTTTTATTTCTGAAAATTAAAGTTTAACATTTTATTTAACTCTCTCAAAGAAAATGGAAAAGGTTTGGGCCATAAATTCATCTGCATGCTAAGTTCTAAATATACAATATTTTTCTACACTTTGCCTCATGCCCACATAAAATTAAATAATACTGTATTCAGAAGTTAAAGATAAATTTGGCAGCATTTTGTTTATATTTTGTTTTAACTTTTTACTGTTCTTGTACTTTTATGGATAAAATTATTGCTTATAATTCCTATTTTAGCTGAAAATATGTAATTAGAGGACTGGATCTAAATCATGACATATTAATTTATCATACAAAATTACTGACATGGTAAAACTGGAAAAAAATAGTATTTGTATATAATAACAATTGCAATTAACTCTTAATATGACATTTTGAAGTCAGTTATAATTTTGGGGAAATGTGACTTTTTGGGGGTATTTATCAATCAATTTTTATATTATTTTTTGAAATTATCCATTTTTTGCCTTATTGGATCAGATATGAAAAACCAAATTTTTCAGTCCCTGGAAATTTGTTAAGTTTAACTCTATTTCATTATAGAATTATTTACATTACCATCATCTCCAAGTTTTGGCTTCCTCTGTATTTCAGTACTTTCTACAATTGCTGCTGAGTGTGGACTTAAAGGACGAGGGACTATTGGATAGGAATCTAAAAACACAATGACATAATTGCAGTAAATATTTATTGATAAAACAGAAATACAGTGTACAATATTATAATAATAGACCTAGTATAAGTTTAATAGTGGTAGGACTATTAGAAAGTTCCAAGACTTAGTGAAAAAGTAAATTTTGTTTTAGCTATCATCTCCTTTAAAGTTTTGATAAGGTAAATCCTTTAACATCTCCTTGTGAATGTATATAATGAGCCCATAAGTTTTTCTGCACCCAAAAGATACTATGGAAATAATTTTCATTGAAGCTGTTGAAGATTACTCACCATTCCTATTGAACATGAGAAACAGTTCCTAAAACATTGTCTTTTTATTTTCAACTGTAATCTGAAGCACACAGCAAAATCAAGAGGGAATTATATTAAGTACAACAGCTGAATGATTATAATATGGCTATTTGCCAAAACCCACTTGTTGTGGAGAAAGTGTAGGCACGAGCAAAAAAATTCTCCGAATTCAATAAGAATGGTGAATTTGGTGCAATTTAAATATTTTATTAAAATTCATAATTAATTCAAATGCCATTAACCAATTCATAAATATTAATGCAATAATCAATGAGTTTGCAATCCTTTAAAAAAAATTACTATCAATTGCCTCATGTCTGAATGTCCCTAATACTTGTTATCTTCAAATCTTCTAATCAAACTCGGTCAGACTTGAAATGTGAATGCCATTCAAACATAATGATCTTATTTAAAATATCATAATAAAGTACATCATGAATTTTAACATCAGACTGTGACTATGTTTTTCTATCTCTTGCTGAAACCTTAGCTAAAACAAACATTAAAAAATGATTTGTGTAAAATATTTTGTGTTCACATTTCAAAATTAAAAGGTTGAATGAAACATCAGGATTACAGAATTTATAGTCCTTAACTTATTTTTGCTTTTATATTCAACAAAATCAGATAACAAGAAATTTTCTCCTAATAAAGTATATGTTAAATAATCTAAAGAATCATTTTACAATATCTCAAACATCTGCAAAATTATTCATTGTAAGTGTTTGGATTACATACAACTCACTTTTAGCATATATGTGATTTTATAATTTTCACTACTAAGTTTAAAGAAATATTGAAATGACTGACTCTTTGGTATGAAAGTTTCATGAAAAAGTTGTGCAGTTTCTGCATTAGCTTGCTGGCTGTTAATATTAAGACACTATCTATCTATTAGTAAGGATAGGAAGTGCAGTGCAGCATGCTAGTATTCTTGAAAGTGGTAAATGGTGTTTTGGGTAGAACTCAGTTCTGCTGCATAGAAGCCAAACATTGTACAGTCAGGTGAAAATATGCTTTAACCTATGCTACCACAAGAATTCCCTGACAGCATTTTTAATGAGATCCAAGAAGAAATGACTGGTTATCACAACTGAACCATGCTGTGGGCACTGTTGCAAATACACTGATGTGGTTGATCATTGATTCGTTGTGGGCCTAATGCATAGACAGTACTTAATTGGGTCTTTTGATGCATTATGGTACATGACATAATGTGGCATGTTGCAATAGCACATATGAAATCGGTATCCCTGTCATATTCACGATCACCAATGTGGTGAACTTTGAAATTAGCTTCCTTAGTTGCAGCTGTCTTCTAGCATCAGCTTTCAGAAAAAATGGAAGTGCAGAACCATATCCTGCTCCCAATGTTCTTGAAAGTAATAAATTATTTTGGGAGCTCAAGATGTGTTTTCTGTGTACAGGTCAAAGATCATACCACCTACCAAAAGCATGCTTAGGTCATGCTATTTAATATTTGGTTCTGTTTCCAAGTGTGAGCACACACTGGCTAAAGTTATAAATGTTTATAAAAACAGTCTCAAAATCTTAATTTCAGTTTTCTAAAAATAAAATCTAGCTTCTTTATTTTCTTTCCATCATTACACCAACTGGTTATTAATAAGTTTAATGCCCTTAAAATACTTCATAAATATTTTAGATGAGCCAGATTACAATTTACTTATGAATTTAAGAAGCCAAATTATTATATAATTAGTATTATCTAAATTTTCCCTCAAAAGTGCTGAATTTACAACAGTAACACTCAGAGGTAAATAAGTTCTTACCCAATTAAAATATAAGTCAAACTTTTTTATTAAAGCTTTATTGTATGGAACACAAAGTTAAGCACAGCTCTTCAAAAAGGTCATTTTTACAAAAAAATTGAGTTCAAACTGTTTTTGTAAAAGTCTGAACTTCTTTTAAGAAACTTTAAAAATTGGAACATGTGTATAGAATTTATATTTAAAGAAACAAAAACTATGTTTTTTTAATACACTATACATTTCAGTTACAGTTCTCATAAGTATTAATTATAAATTCAAGAAAGGACACAAAAATTTAAGAAAACATAAAAAGCTAATAATTAATATATTTATTAAATAACAACTCATGCTTTTATTTTCTTAATATTCAGGTGACATAAGACATGAGGTTTTTTTTTAATCAAATATATAATGTAACCTAATAGTATAATTTATATCCTTTTTCTAACACACAATTATAAATAAAGCAGTCATTTTATGAATATACTGCAGAAAGCACATTACAAATTAATGTTCATTATGAAAGTTCATTATTAAAATAAATCAAAAAAAGAATCTCTCACTGTGGTATAAATAGAAATTTTTTTATAAAGTGATAGGAGCTTTCAAATATATGTGCATAATTACACTTACCAAAAGATGTAGATATATCTGGTAATTCTTTAGTATCAGTTTCATTGTTGTCAAATTCATCATCTAAAGAAGGGCTAGGACCTGGACTTCTCTTTTTCTTATACCTACTCCTAAATTTAATGATACATTAAAAACATGTCAAATAAGAGAAATATGCATACATTTTTTCATACTGTATTCTAATTCAAATTGGAAGCTTTTTTAAATATGTCAGAATTCAGCGGTAATCATATAATGAACCAAGAAACAGTGAATGGTAAGACTACACAGCATAAAAATAAATAATGTTAAACATGCTAATTTTACGCTTTTAATTGATTAAAGGGACCAGGAAAGCCCTATCTCCACCCTATTAAATTCACCAATTTTATGTACCTTTTCCTCATAAATGGCAAAAGAAGTATACAATACAACATGATATATTTGTCATTAAAAACTGAGCTAAGTTTCATAGATATTGAGGAAAAGGAACATGAACCTGAAAAAACCACGTTTTTTTTTTTTTTAAACCGATTTAAAGGTTTCATTGATATTTTTATTAGTAATTAATGTATTAATTTAGCAAAATCTTGGTTTATATGAAGAATTATCAGCTTTTTCTATCTCATAAGACTCTTCAAGTCTCCTTTTTGCAGTGTTATTTTATGTTTTTGACCTTTTTTGCTATATTTGGTGGTTTTTGCTCTCTGAATACATTCTTTATCCAAATCCTTCATAATTTTAACACAGTGGTAACCAAGGTTAATACCAATCTTGGATAAAGTATAGCACTTTATTATGTTTCTTGCTTTAAAAGAAGAAACAAGAAACCTCCAAATTTTAAGGTTTGAATGCATACAAACACATGTTTTGGCACATGAGTCCTGATCACAGGTTCATTTGGATTTAGGTTCCCCCCCCCCTCCCATGCAAACATTTTCTGACGAGCTCAGGGTTTACCAAATATCTAAATATTGACTTGATGACTTCCACTAGTGAAAGAGAAAGATGTGTATGCTTGGTGTGGTCATATGTTTCACATATTGCTTAGGCACGATGAAATCCACACCAACTTTCAGATTCAACTAGACAGAGTCCATAATTTAGATTTTCTTTGCTTGACAACAGATGAAAATATTCAGCCCAGATAGCTTGCTGCAAGTTTTGAAGGGATCTGACATTTCTTCTAATGGCTAAGCCATTAGTCTCCAACTTCCCATCACTTTTTTTTTTAAGAGTACTTTTTCTTCAACTCATGAAAGCTAATTCCCATTTTTTTCTGAATATGCACAATGCACTCTAATTTTTCAATATTTATATTATCCTCATAAACTTTAGATGACACTAAGGTTTACACAATAATTATCACTTAGTATAAAGAATAATTATCTACCTAATGGAAAAGATAGCTATATGATAGAATTCTTAAAAAGAAACAAACTGATATATGATTTAAAAATATTATGAAATAATTAATAAATTTATACTGTGCAGCCTCTATCATGAACCTCTGCAAATAGAAATAGTTAAAATCTAATATGACAAAAATTTCCTATAAATGACCTAAGAACATTAAAAAAACGAGAGAGGGAGAAAATAATAATACTGCAAAATAAAATTCATCCTCCTCCTTTCTATAACCATTTTAAAGTTGGCTAGTTCCACTCTTGTCAAGATTTAAGAAAAATTTATTTGTAATATAATACTGCAGTATACATAAATATACTTCAGTAAGTCTACATAATTTATAATTAATAGCTTACTTGCATCTATTTGCATTTTCCGCTCACAGAATATATAGCTAACATCAAATTTGTTTGCTGTGTCCCCCTGCCCCCCCAAAAAAAATTCCTCTATGAAAATCTGCCAACAGACTTTCAGAAGGGATTTCTCTTGCAGCAGGTACTTTCCAGCGGTTGAAAAAAATATTACCTAATTCTACATTAACGTGACATACTTTTACTCATATTAGATTTTTCAATATCTTACTCTTTTTTATTCAGATTAAACTCAGGAAAATTTTATTACAGAATTGCACAGATATTACAACAAATGCTTTTACTGATTGACTAGATGAAGGGTCATCAGCTACTTGTTTTTACGAGGGTTGGAAATTTTATAGTGGCAACACAGCTGAAAAAACGCTAAGCAACAAAACCAAAGACTATTGCGTATACCACATGTAAACTACATACCTACCTTACCTCTCAGCAAAAAGACTTAGCCTGCCTACGTCACGCGCATGCAGAGCGACGCGAAGAACGAATCCTTGTATTAGATCGTGGTCTAAAGTAAGTGTTGTCAGGATGTTTTCAAAACAAGAACAATGATGCAGGATAAAAATTGAATGTGCCAGAGGTCGTAAAGCACGGCAGTGTCATCAAGGGCTTCAAGAGGCTTGCGGGGAATCTGCATTACCTTACAGAACCGTAGCAAGATGGGTGAAAGCATTCAAATAAGGATGCCAAAACGTGGCAGACATGCTGCGGCCAGGTCATCCGAGTGTCAGCGATGCAAGCGTGCAAGCTGTTGCTGCACTAATGGACAGTGATCGCCGCCAAACGATTTGTCAGCTGGCCGGACAAACAGGATTAGTGCATACGACTGTGCTGCACATTCTGAAGGAAGCTGTCCATGAAAAAAATTGCTTCACGATGGGTTCACATCAATTGACGGAAATGCAGAAAATGGCTACAATACGATGCTGCCCGAACCACCTGGAGCACTATGAGTGCGAAAGATGCTTTTTACGGCATCTCATTACGCTGGATGAGACTTGGGCCCGATCGTACCAGCCAGAACTGAAACACCAATCAAACGAATGGCATCATCAAGGGTCACCACGACGTTCGAAATTTCGTCAGAACCCAGCAATGTGAAAGTTATGGTGATTCTCATGTAGACTGTGATGGTGTCATCCTAACGCATACCGTTCCCCACAGCAGACCATTCACTGCGCAGTATTACTGCTCATTTTTGGAGCACAATCTCCGACCAGCTTGAGAAAAAAACGGCGATATTTTCTGCAGAACGCTCCTCTCATTTTGCATGACAATGCTCGGCCGCAGCAGCGCAAGCTGTGTGATTTGTTCAAGCGATGGGGCTGGGAAGTGCTTTACCATCCACCATACTCCCCAGATCTAAGCCTTGTGACTATGACTTAATTCCTAAGATGAGGAAACCACTTCGTGGCAATCGCTTCAAAACTGTTCCTGAGATTCTTGCGGTAGTAGACCGGTCCATTCAAACATAACAAAAAACAGGCGCTGCTACAGGTTTTTCTGGCAACTTCCACATCGTTGGAAATGGGTTGTACACAATGCTGGCAACTATACTGAAGGACTGTAAAACATGGTGACATGAATCACTTTTGTATTCCTTGTAAATAAATAGTTGCCACTATTAAAGTTCCAACCCTCGTATAATTGAAACAATGCAAATAACTGTAGTTTGACAACTATACATGCTTGCTGATGTCTCTTTTGGCCAGTTTGGCTACTGAAAATACCAGCCAATCCAAAAACTGCATAATGAAAACTAGAAACCGTTGATGTTGGGCAAGATTTCAATTTCATACAGTTCAGTGTTTCACACAATAGCAGTCTGCAGCACTTGAGATTTAAAATATTTGCATTTTTGCAAGATACATAGATAGACAAAGATACAACAACAAAAAAATCTATGCTAAAACAACAAAATTACAGTAGAAATGACTTTTTAATACTACTCACGTAAATGGGTTCAAAATTTATATCAGTTTTACAATAAATTTTAATTAGTGATTTATAACATTCACATGCCCAGCTTCAATATTACCTGTTAAATGACATGCAAGCAGCTTTGAAGATTAACTCTTGGTCATCCAAAATGCAGCATGATGAAGCAAAAATCCAAACAGCAGAAAAGTTGAATTATGTGCATACCACAATGGAATATGCAAATGATTAAGATTTCAGCACATGCACACATCATAGACAACTGCAGCACTCCTTAGAGTCTGTATATAAAGGGAGGAAAGATTGCCATTTTGAACAATGTGAAATGATCTGTTGTGATATTTTTTGTGTGCAGCTTTAGTATGCCTCATAGAAAAAAAAAAAAAAAAAAAAAAAAAAAAAAAAAAAAAAAAAAGAGCAACATTCACATACATTTCTGAATTCAACGTAGGCAGAACCATCGCATACAGATATTGCAGATTATTTTTCTGGAAAATCTGTTAATGTGTCAGATATACCTAAAAAACAATCATGCAAATATGGAATCAGTGTATGCAGGAGGAAACGATTGCCAGACAGGAGCTATTACAACCACCTCATTGCACTACTCTATGGGAAGTCAAGTATATTGTGTATTTGATATTGATGGAGCACAATGCCACATCTACAACCATATCACAATGAATGCAGTCTGTCACACAACAATCGGTATCTGCAAGAACAATATGACATCATTTACAGTACAATGGACTGTTCATTAGGCATCCATTGCTTCACTTACCATTAACTTTAAACCATAGGTGTTTGCATTTGTGATAGTGCACTGAATGGTAGAGACAGACATCCAAATAGCATGACACTATGTTTTTGAACAAATCATGCTTCTGTCCGAGTTTTGAGATTTTGCAGGCTGTTCTCCTTTCTTAACTTCAGGGCCTGCCTGTGGCCACATATTAAGAGGAAATTATCAGCCACATGTTGCACACAAGCTCAAGCTTTTTCTTAGCTCACCATATTGCATTGTTAACTTAGCCTCCTTGTTCTCCAAATCTATCACCCATGTCTCTTCAATGATTCAAAAACACCTCGTCCAGCATGCTGCACACCAGATGAACTTCGGCTGCATGTGTCCCAACACATCCAAAGCCTCTTTCACTCAGTGTCACAGTGTGTAGCAGTAGTTAGTTATTTCCTCGCCTTCCCCCCTCAAAGGAGGATGTATATCAAATCAATTAACATTGATAATATGTATAATTGCTGAAATAAATTTGGTTGTGATATCTCTTGTTCTTCTTCATGCTGCATTTTGGATGGATAGCAGTGTATAATCTGAAGAATATAACAATAAAATAAATATAGTAATGAACTTAAAACTATAATTAGACAGTTTAGGCATTATATAATAAACTGGTGGACTAAATTAAATAAGACACTAGTGACTACTGCTAAGGATGGATGACAGTAGCAACAACATCAACCATAAGATCGAAAGCAGGAAAATATGGAAATTAGCATATAAGAGGGGATACAATAAGATGTGTTGTGCATTTCCACATTTTAGATTGCCATAGCTGTTCTCACATGATAGTGCTGATAAGAGACATAAATGATTTGACACATACTGATTGTTGTTCAAAAGTAACATTAATGAGAAAAAAATCAATTGACAAACTTGCAATTTTCGGTATGTCTTCACTGACATCACTTAGATGACTTTATGCATGACCATATTTGATAAGATTGAAGAAGGGCGAAAAATAACAGATGTTGCCAGGGTGTTCGATGTCAGCCACATTGCTGTTTCAAGGCTTTACAAAACATTTCAAACAAACTGAATGTGTAGCAAACATGGGAGGTCATGTTTAACTGTAAAAGATAGGTACATATAATGCTGCCAACAAAAGGTAACTAGCACAGCACAGCTACCAAAGTAGAAAATCATTTACTTGCTTTGACTGGCATGTGAATCTCCTGAAAAATTGCAGCCAAATATTTGCATCAAGGAGCACTATGTACCCACCATTCTTTCTGTACATTCCAGTCAATGTTCTGCCCATTTGCTTATGGTGTCATCAGCATCGTAATTGATGGGAAGATGATCGAACTTGTGTACTATTCTCAAATGTAAGTAGGTTTAGTCTCTAATTATGGACGAAAAACTGATGTGATGTGACAGTGGTACTGCATACAGTTTTGCAAAGATACAGGAAACGGAACAATATCCTATATGTAGTGTCATGGTATGGACTGGGATTATCATCAATGGCCATGAATTGCTTTGTGTGCTTCCTACTGGAACTATGACTGGCCAATGATGCATTAATGTTCTACTGCCTCATATTCACATGTTCCATGAAGATGCAGTTGGTGATAAATTTGTTGGACAACAACTCAACGTGTCACTGAACAGTTGCTATCCAGGAGTGTCAAGAAGAAAGGGATATTCAACACTTGATATGGCCAGCGTGTTCTCCAGACTTAATCCCGCTGATAATGCTTCGGATGCTTTGAGGAGGAGACATGCTGGTCAACAATGCCCTTCAATAAACAAATACACCCTCAACCGTACAGTGACAAAGAAATAGAATAAATTACCCCAACAGCTGCTGGATAATATTGTGCATAGCATGACATATGTGGAACCTTGCATTGCCCTCCATGGTGGCCATACCCCATATTGACAGCTTATGCCAGAATGCCTGCATGCAGTAATTGCATTTTTTCATTTTTACCTATTCAGCATAAAATGACCATTTTGTTCCTTGGACACTTTTCAATGCCTACTGGATTTTATAGCACAATAAATTATCTTCATTGTTATGTCCTAGTACTCTGGCATTATTTTATTTCACTTGGCCTCCAACTACACTTTTTTAACTGCTACATAGCCATTTGTGATCCATCCTTAGCAACTGCCCACCAATGTACACACAGCAAGCATTCTGATACTCAGCAGCATCACCAAAATAATGAACATAATGATACAAATAATTAATTTCACACACTTGAGCAACTGTAAGAGAGTTTATGGTTTAATTCGTGCTGAAATAGCATAATAAAAATTGAAAAGATATGATATTGGTGCAACCTTCATAATGCAAGTATACGCACCTTGTAGCATACGTGCTACTGGCTGTAGAGCGCAGATTTGAGGACTCAAAATCAGAATCCGAGTCAGCATACATATTTAAATCAGAGTCACTAAAAAGTTACATATAAGAATATAAGAAGATTGTAACAGTTCCATACAATACAGGGTTGCCCACAAAAAAGTAGCCAGTCTCTAGCATTGATATGACAAGATGGACACCATCTTTCTAACATGACATGCCCAGAAGGCCTGACATAAAACTTGAACAATGCTTTATTTGGCATTATTAAATCGCTTGACAGATGAATAGTCGGCAGACAGAGAGCAAGGAGTTATGGTCTGCTCCAAAGAGCATGATACCAATACTGGATATGAGCTATTTTCTTGTGGACCATCCTGTAGGAAATAACAGTAAAGTATTTTGGGAAGGGAAAAAAGGTCGGAAATAACAGTATAGAAGTTTTACATGATAGCAAAGAAAGAGTTCACAGAAACACAAGAAAAGCAGAAAGAAACAAAATGAGTAACAGTATTAACATATTCATAACATTTCTAAGATTCAAATAACTTGGAAAAGAAAATATGCATATTTTTTACTTCACGTTTACAATTGAAGATATCAAACAAATTTCTTCACTTCTTAAAATAAGAACTGAATGTGTACTTGGTTAAAAACATGGCTGAGATACAATAAATTGTAATTTTTTATTAACAGATTTTTTTTTATTGTTTTTAAATGTGCATGTGTTCCTATCCCTATGTAAAATTAATTAAAAATTGGATGGCTGATGGAAATTTTCTAAAAATATTTTCAATATCCAAAATTCAATTTTGTCTTCAAGCACTGAATAACTAAATGCTATATTGTTACATATGAACACCAAATATAATGGCATATAAACACCATTGTAAGTAAAGAGGTTATGAACAAAAATATTCACCTTGAAGCTGATGACTGATTATAATCACTTTCCTCCTCTTTTAGTTTTGGCTTAGGAGAAATTTCAATTTCTATATCAGTGACATCAGATTCATAACCTTCTTTTGTCCTTTCCACAACTTCTATATGGTCGAGTTCAGCTAGATATTCATCACCAAAATGAAATCCATCCTAAAAATAATAAATTATGATTAACACTCATCTCTTTAGCTACCATCATCAAAAAGTATACAAAACAGAAATGCTTTCAAGAGGTTTGTAAATTATGATAAAACTCATCTTCAGCTATCAATAGCTAAAAGAATACAAAACAGATATGCTTTTAAAACATTAATATTTATTAAAATCGTTTATTCCATATTCAGTAATATGGAAGATTAAAATCTATTTATTATACAAAATGTCCTTAAACTTCTCCAGCATAATCAGTTTTAACTCTTTCATACAAACATTGTAAAAGTACAATTTTCAATAACAGTGAAACAAACAGCAAGCTGAAAGCATGTCACCATTTATTTCTTTGTCACTTGTTGCATTAGAAATACAACAGTCACATTCTTGAACAAAATTAGGAGCACGCTTTTCTAAGCATTATGCAGTATGATTCAGCTAAGTGTGTATAGATTTTATATATAGGTACATGGCCCAAAGAAAAGCAGAATCACACAGCACTGCAGAGTTAGGAATGCCATCTTTATATGTTAGAACACACAGTGCAACATAGACTCAATACATTTTTGTCAATGCCAGGAGTGTGTACTCATTCTCACTGACACCTGGCAGAGCTCTGGAAAGAACTGCTGCTGCATTACTTCTGATGTCTCAAATTATAATTATACTACTGTATTTGAATCAATTGTATCAAGGTTTTTATTTAATTAAAATTGTTTGTTGACTAGTGCGGTGGGAATTTATTTTTGGCAGTTAAAAGCTTTCATTACAGTATTCTCAGTTCTTCGTTTTCTATGGCAGGACAGAAAATTTGTTTTGGGGGTAGAGGAAGTAGTGAAGAGTTTGTTACAATGGTCAGTATTCCACAAACGGATTTTCTTAGCAGGCTGTGAATAGGAGTTATAATGAGGAAAGAGCAATGATGTTACCTTGTCGCTTGGCTTTTGTTTGACTAGAGAAAGAAAGTTTCTGTTTGTGAAATAAATTGTGCTTCCAATGCTTGAGGAGTTGCAAGTGATTTGCTAGTGACCAAATGATGAAGATGGAAAGTAAAGTTCCCATTTCTAAAGATACCATCGCTTGACATTTCTTCTCACATGTACAATTATTCATACGTGTGAGATATACATGTATGAGTATGATTACTGATGGGGAACAAGATGACAGGCCCTGGGACAACAGTTGTGTTTCCACTGGTTTTGGAGAAATTGAAAATAAAATTAAAAAAAAAAAAAAAAAAAAAAAGTGCAGTAAATTCAGCCTGAATTCGGCAAAATTTAATTGTATGGTTACTTTCAGCTGTGATATTTTGATAGCCCAAGGCAACAGACTTTCTTGAAGGTTTGCACAGAGTCAGATTTCAGATTTGGTTTAGTGCCGATGAGTTTAGATGAAAAAAGACAGAACGAAAAAGGTAACCTTGCCCTTTGGCTTGCTGGTGAAAGCATGTTTGGACTGGATCCTTTTCGTTTCCCTGGTTAAAGTTGAACTAGCTGCAGAGAACTTTCCACTTGGAGTTCCAAGTTTTTTCTTCAGCCACTCCCAGCTGCTCAGACATATCTGTGGATTCAGGTTGTCTGCCATGACGCACTTACTGCCTGGTTATCAGCATATTCTTCTCAACACTTTGTTCTCAGAATTTAGCTGCCTTAGAGGAGCTGCCATGCTGAACTAGATAGATAGTTATTTCTTTAGAACAGTACTGATTGCAGGTTCATCCTATTCTTATGGATCAATGTGGGGGTAAATTCAGCAGAAGGTTTTCAGTGGATCCTAAGCTATTACAGCGTGAATGTGTTAATATCTCGGCAGCTTGAGATAATTGTGAGTACTTCCCATCAAGACTTTTGCACACTTAACTTTAACTAGATCTTAGTGTAAGAACTTGAATGGTGTTTACATGTGCATTGGCTCTTGATGGTGTGATAGAAAAATGAACTGGTATTCTTCCCACCATGAATTGATTTTCATTTATATTATATTTTGATATGTAGAGTGTTACATTAGGTTAGAATAATTTTTACTTTACCTGAAACAATGGAAATTAATGACAGCCTATTTACGAAGAGTAAAAATGAGACAGGTCAAGTAGTGATTGTCTATTAACTGGTAGATGGGAACTGCTTTGGTCAAATGAAAGTTCTAAGAAAATGTGACTGTAATGCTTTGTTTGTTCATACTTCTACATAAATCCTCCAAAAAAAGGAAAAAGGCTCTTATGAATGCAAGGATTGTAACATACATCTGTGTGTAGATTCCTGTTTTGAAATTTATCGCACTAAAAATGAATTTTAAGTAAATTGTTTAGCTATAAAATATATAGGATCAAAAGTCATATTATAAAATAAATTCACAAATATTTAAAAAAATTACAGCTCAAAATAAAACTATTTAAACAAAACAAAAAACTTGAGCATATGAAATAAGTAACCAAAAGTATATCTAAAACATATACAGTTAAAAGTCGTTAATTCGGACCTCAAAGCTACAGACTTTCTGCGCATGCGTTATAGGCATTTACGCATGCGCGTAAGACCTTTACGGCTGCGAATATGCGTGTGCGCATAATACGTTTATGCATGTGCGTTTAAGGTATAACGGATGGTATAAGCTAAGCTAAAATTATCTAATTCCGTTAATGTAGATTGCGTTGCTCCTTAATCTTCGAATGGATCCGGCTTATTTTTTTTGCAAATGTTGAGCAATTTTATAAAAGTAGCTTAACTTTAGATATGTCAAAAAGAATTCGATTCTGGAGCTACCAAAGGATCTACAAAGTGAAACATGAGATGTCCATAAACAAAAAGTGAATTGCTTTTTCTAGGATAGTATTTTGTTACTCCTTTATGGCAAAGACCTTTATTTTGGCATAGTATATTGTGATTCATTTTTCTTCAATATGAGCTCGAATGAGATTGCATGAGTTTTTGTCTTTTTCAGATAAAATGATCCCTTCTTGACATCGAACGACGCGGCGCCAATGAATTGGAGTTGATCGTCAGCACTATCCTTCTTCAGGGCAGATGTTTCTATTTTTTGGCGCTTCCTTACTACTGCAGTATTTCATCTCGAGGACTCCGTCTTTGAGATTTTAATCAAGTTCCTCTCATTAATTTTTTTTTTTCGGAAGAAGGACACAGAGGTTATTAATGAACAATTTCGATTGACAAATTAGTCGGTTCTTGGACACGCAATTTAGAGACTTGAACGGGAACTTGTTACAAGAAATTATTTTTAATGAATTAAAGAGGAAGTATTATCAAGGTTAAGGAAGCACTTAAACACTACATTGAAAGGTTTTAATAAAGTAAACAAATAAAATTAACTTTTCTTTTTGTAAATTTTGAGACCCTTAGATCGTAACTGTTCTTTATTTCATAAATTACGGTTTCATATTTTTAATTTTGTAATTTCTGCATGCCATCTTACCAGATTTAAACTGATGATCTATAATCCAAAAAAATCGATAATTCGGAATCGCCGAAGTCCCGACGAGTCCGGACTAACGACTTATGACTGTACTATACATACACTCTGCAGAATATTTTTAAATAATGTGTTCAACTTTCTGTAATTTCATGGATTTAAGGCTTGTTGCTGTTGTTATTAATTTCATTGTCTGATAATGGTCGTATAAGCCCATTCACAGTGACAAAGAGTCAAATGTGTCTGTCGTTGGCAAGAGCCTTGAGCACCCTAAGTGACAGCTGTACTTTAGCTCAATTCTACCCCCTATTTTAAGAGAGAACACCCAGGGGAAACGAGTCTGAGGAATGGGAATGTGGTCAACTTTTTATTAAATTGTTAATTATTTAATTTTATTTTATGAAAACTACTTTTATTCTTTCTAGTTTTAGTAGTTATCCACATTTCCAATATTTTTCCTTGCTCAATTTATAAAATACATTAAAAAATAATCTAAATTTAAATAAATGTATCTGTGTGTCTCCCCCTTTTTCCCTAACTCAACCTCTCAAGAGGATTTTTGACTCGCTGCATATTTAGAATGCCCCCAAGCCACACAAATACTATACATTTATAAATATGCTTTTTTTTCTCCAAAATTCGAAACTGGGCCCTTTGGTACGGCAGTCAGAGTCACTAACCCCGCTGGGTGGAAGATTTAGATTTAGTAGTGCAAAACCCTACAGCCCTGGAGATAAGCTTGGAAACAAAAGGCTCACCCCAGCACTATGTAAGCAGCTGCACTTTCTCTCCAAAAAGCATTGAAAAATACTTCTCTAATCTTCCTTAATGCTGTGGAAAAGCAGTGCAAACTTGATGTGAAATTAGAACAAAACACAACTTTAGATTGATTAAGATTTTATATAAAATTCATATTAGTTTCAAAGTGCACCTAACCATCGGCGTAAATAAGGGTATGCAATGAATGCCCTTGCATAGGGGCCCTTAAATGTCCTGCTGAACTACATTTACACGTTTAAACTTAAAAGACGAATTCTATTACATATATATAGATGCTTCATTTTTCCCTGATGAGTTCGAAATTGGAGTTTCAATAAAAGATTATTATTTTATATTTTTATCTTAATTTTCCTCCTATCTTTTTTTTTTTTTTTTTAAGTTTTTTAAGGGCCCGACTATACGTGCAGTGACGCAATTCTATACATGATGCAGATAAGATGCCCTTGGAAGCACAAGAAACGTCTAAATTCAGTGTTTGCAGAAGTTAATATTCCATCATTCGACTATGAAATAGTAACTTCATGACCTACACCAGTTTGAGGATAGCAGTCAGCAGAAAATAGGAAAAGTTTCTTTGTATTCCTTAGTCTTTAACCTGAAAATTATTAAAGGTGAGCCCTTAAAGAAAGGTTCCTCCTGTTGTAATCCCAAACCAAAAAGGGGTGGAAGTGGAAATTAATTGTAACTATTCATTATAAAGTACTTATTTTATATATTAATTGTTTCTGTACAATTTGCATTATGATCGAACAATCAGTAGGCATGAGGAATTGTGGTATGTTATTTGCAGCTTGCAATTTTCATAATATGTCATTCCAGGGCGTTTAACTTTGTTCATATATTGAATCTCTTACTATCATTTCCATAAAACCCAAGTCCAAAAATCAGTCCTAATATTCAACTCAAAATTGAATTTATTAATGTGAATGATTCTTACAATTCAATATAACATGTATTGTGTTGGTTCGCTATAAACAGTCTATCACTTTTCAAATTGTTGCCACCAAATAATTTCACAGTGTATTATTTTTATAAAGAAATTAAATAAAGAATCTGCATGTTTGAATGTATAGTTCTCAAAATGTAAAAAACGACAGTACTCGCACCAGGAGGCAGGGTAAGGGACAGAAAATTTTGGATTTAGAAGTACGATTAACATTACAAAATGGCAAAGTTAAAAGGCGGATCGATTTTTTTCCCCTCTGTTTTTTACACTAATAAGCTGGAGCGCGGGGGGAGGGGGGAATCATTCGTAAGTCTCAATTGCTAACTCCAGAACATATGCTTTTCTTTCTAAAGGACACAAAATCATTGATGTAAGTTGAGCAGTTGTGCCATGAAAGGACTTTGCCCCACTCACATGTCAAAATGCCCAGGAAATAGTCCAGGAAACGCAAAGAATTTATGACACCACATTTGGAAAGGAGAGATTTCCTGTTCAGCTTAGGGACCTTTGAATGAATTCAAGGGCCAAAAAAAGGGGGAAGTTTTACGACAGGCTAAGAACACAAATTTCATTCAGATGCTCAAACGTTAAGCGGCCAAATATTTCAGTTAATTTCCAGGGTAAATTGCTTTTTTTCATTAAATCTATTGAAATTCATTATTTTTTCTTCACTCATGGGGGAGGAAATGGAAATTAATGAATATTTTTACTTGATATAATGACTAAATTGATATTTATCCAATTTTTCATTTCAAAATATTCTCACACTGCAGATAAAATGCAGGTTAGGAATTCTTTAAAATCCCTAATCGAGAATGAAATCTGAAGGCATAGACTGTAAACTATATTGCTTATAAGCATATTTTAATGCTTGAGGATTTACTTGATTTGCTTTAGAAAAGAGAAGAGCTAGGGTGTTTCTTAACCTGTAAATTACCCATCTACCAAAATTTCACACTTATCTGTAAAAGATAATTCTGAAGACGTTCAGTTTGTTTTGACAGTAATATATTAATTTCCCTTCATTTGAAAAAATACAATAAATTACAATTCATTTTAACAATATAAAATATTAAGCGTATAATTCAGTAATGCGCAATTTGTACATTATTTAAACAGAATTGAATTGAATTATTATATAATAATAAAGCACTCAAGGACTATTTGCGTAACAGGAAGAACGCCTTCATGGAGTACTTTCTAATCGTTATTTGAAATGAAATTTTACGATTTACTTTCCACAACATTCAGCTTGAAATCATCAATAATAATATAATAATGATAATAAAAAGGGCTTCACACAACTAAAAGTAGATACTACTAAGTAAATTTCGATAAATTAATTACCAAAAATATTAAACATATCAATGGCAGTGTTGCCCTAATAGTTTTAAGTTGCATTTCAACATTTGAAAAAACACAAATTACATTGCTATTTTCACTACAGAAGCGAATGGAATATTTCAGAAAAGAATTCTCCCCCGTTATTGCAATATTTAAATAATTTTTGCAAATTAAAAAAAAAATTAATCTGTTTTAATAGTTAAATGATGCAATTTTCTCTCATAAAATCCCTTTGTACATTATTATCTTTCATTTCGGCACCACTGCACAACTTTTCTAAGACATAAATAGCTTCAGTTAATATATGTTCCCATACATTATATTTATTTTTTATATTTTTGTCATTAATAAATTAATGATTAACATAAAAAATTGATACTGCTTAATTTATAAGCAATGCAAAGAAGGGAAATCTGAGGTCATTAATTTCTGAGACATAAACAGCTTTCCAAGATGCAAATAAAACAGAAAACAATAATCATAAATAAATATTAATGCTCCTAAAATATATCCGCTTTTCCTAACTGATTTTTGCTTTTTGATTCACCTGGGGTACAACAAACCTATTTTCATTAAATGAAGTTTTTCGCATTTCACTACAAAGTACACAAAACTTGTTTCATACAACTTTATTTTTACTAATTATGAAGAAACGTTATACTTGTTTAGGAAACATTTATGTGTACTACTTTTAGAATCCATGCAACAGAGTGTGCGTACTCATCTTCAAATATATGCTAGTGTCAATAAGCTTAACTACAAATTATTAAACATTTCTGGGAACTTAAAAGGGAATCATCATATTCTGCTACAGTGTATAATTACATTTATTGAGGCGGGATTAGAGAAGAAGAGCAGTACGGGCTGAGGGAAAATTAAAAGGAAACAGGAAAAAAACTTTAGCATTCATATTTTTTATAAAAATCATGTATTTAAGTAGTTTAGTGTACCAAAAGGATTTTTAAAAAGACAGACAAAAACTTTACCATACATATTTTCTACAAAAATTGTATATTCAAATAGTTTTCGTTATGAAGTTTATGATAAATAGGTTTTATATTTAACAAATGTATCATTAACATTATAAAAGTTCTTATTATTACTGTATATTATTGCATTAATCATTCGTAAGCGAGTAAATCACAAAGTACTATATTAATGTAATATCTTTTCTGTACGTTTATCAATATCTTGACTGTCAGTTTATAATATAACCAATTATTTATAAGTTTGCTAAATTAAGCAAAAAAAAACTTAGATAGGCACAGATTTTATATAAAATATCCGCAAACTTAGGCTTTCTTACTTTTCTTAATGCTATATACTTAACGTCGACTGTTCTTTTTTTATAGACTTATTAATTTATTATCAGTATGTATCTCAGTGAAAGGAGAGAAAATCTGTCTCGCGCACTCACACAAAAAGTCTTAAAAACTGATTAAAATCATCTGACGTCAAATACCAGACTATAGCAAATTGCTTTCACCAGTTTGGTCAAGGTAAAATTTTCCTTTTTATTCTTTCTTCATGTTACATACCTTTCAACTGGTTCCCTAAGAAGTGGTTTTATTTTTTAACAATTAATCCAGATGTGATATAAAATCATCATGAAAACCTGGCTCCGGAATCCTGATTTTTTTTAAACTTTTAATTTTTATTATTATTATTTTTTTTTTAAGCACATTAAATTTATTGGGATAGAGCCCAGGAAATGTTTTTGCCTAGGGGCCGAAGAGTTCTAGTTACACCACTGCAACTAACACAAGTCTCTGAGATGATAATAACCTCTGTTACTTAAAGCTAGTGATGGGCAAATTCAGTACTTTCTTGTACCCGGTACGAGAGTACCGGGTACAAACAAGTACCCGGTACAAAATACCCGTTACTCAAGTAACCGTTACTTTGAAAAGTACGGAAAACCAATTTCAAGTGCCGAGTACCAAAGTAACGATTTGGAGTACTGAAGTAACAAAATACCAGAGTACGGTTATAAGTATAACGGTTTGCTGTACCGGAGTACCAAAGTACCCTAGTAATGATTTGGAGTACCGAAGTGCCCTAGTAACCGATTGAGTCCAAATACGTAGCTAACGATTTTGGGGCACTGAAGAACTCTGCCACGTCACCACGTGTTTGATTTTATCTGTACGGAGTAGATTTTGAATATCAGAAAACATGTCAACTACGGAAGTGTCTCAAGTGTGTCAATTCATGGACACAAGGAACACATACCACCATTTCACAAATACAACTAGATACTATTGTCCTCGTACCAAAATTGAAGTGAGCTAAACCGTCATCGATCCTCCAGTAATGAATACCGAAATAGAAGAGACACATATTTTCGTTACAAAGTAGCGAATACCGAAAAGTACACGTTTCGGTACAGAAGTAACGAATACCGAAAAGTACAGAAGTAAAGAATACCGTTTCGGTACAGAAGTAACGATACCGAAAAGCATCCTTCGGACAGAAGTAACGAATACCGAAAAGAACCCATTTTGGTACAGAAGAACGAATACGAAAAGTACTTGTTTCGGTACAGAAGTAACGAATACCGAAAAGTATCGATTTCGGTACTGAAGTAACGGGTACTTGGACGTACCGATTTTCAGTACCCGTTACAAAATACCCGGTTCGGTAGTACCGACTCATCACTACTTAAAGCTGTTAATATCAATTACCAGTAAATTACTCACCTCATCAGCTCCTTGTTCTGTAGATAGTTGACCAGCATATACACAGATAAACATTCCAGCATCGATATCATCAAGACACCTAATACCCCAACCTTTAAACTGCGTTTTAAACATTTGTAGGCGTACCTAAATATTAACAATTTTCATATAATTTTTAGATAACACTATTAGTTTCACTGCAAAAATATAAAAATTGATACTGTAAATAATTCAGATGTCATATATACAAGATAAAATGCTAATATATTATAAAAATATGTGCCATTGAGAAAATAAAACTCTACTGATAATTTGATTTCGCAAAAATCATTAAAAAAAAAAAAAAACAATTAGAAGTGCTCAAAATAATTACAAACCTTTAACCCATGCTGCACAACTCTATTTCCACACTGAGGACCACATTTGCACATTTCGTTGCATTCATATATACTGTTTTAAAAGAGAAAGAAGTATAAAAAAGCAGTCAAGTCTCGAAATAAATTGATAAAACATAAATCCTTCCTTCCCCACTAAACAAAAATACTATTTATTATTAAACACAAATGAAAACCTCAAAATTAAGCAAATACCTATGAAAACAAATGTCTGCTAATAGGTGGGAAAAGAAGTATTAATGATGAAAAGATCTTAAATTTACTATTTCATAACTGAGGCAAATAATCACATCTTTAATAATTTAATCTGATAACTGTAGTGATAAACAAGCTTTCAAGCTTGCCATTCAAAGCCCCTAAGCACTGCATTTACTGTACTTGCATTATTTATGCATGCGCTACAAAACTTCATTTCATGAAAAATTACACAGTGGAGCAACTGCTAATTTCAAAGCTTAATATTTTTTGACTAAATTGCAGATTTTTCAGAGTGTAATGGGGGAATTTTATAAATGCATGAAACATTTGATTGAAACTGAATGTTACTATAACCAATACAATCTCAACCTCCAAGAATAAAAGTACTTTTCATTATTCGACTGCATATTTTATGCAATTTATGTTACACTGCTTTGATAATTCTGCATTAATTGAACAATTATTTGCAATGTGCATCATTTATGCTTACAACTTTATTATTCTTAAGTATATAGATAAGTAATTAACAAAAATTTAACTAAAGAATTAGGCATTTAAAGAGTTATTAAAATTTTCTACAATAATAGAATTTATGCATTTACTGTATTTCTATTATAAATCACAAAAGCACTAAAAATTATTTTTGCAATTATGCATATTATTAATCTAACTCTCCATGTTGTTCCTACAAATGGAGGAAAATAGGAATTAAGCTGATAGGCAAAATAAGTAAACGCTATCTGCCTTTGAAAATACGAACCTTCAGGCAGGATTTTTGTAAGGGAGGAGTGGTTTTCAACCAAGGGGAAATTTCGCCTGCAGGGAATGTGGTCAATCTTTTACTAAATTGTTAAGCATTTAATTTTATTTCATAAAAACTACTTTTATTCTAGTTTTAGTATTTATCCACATTTCCAATATTTTTCCTTGCTCAGTTTATAAAATACATTAAAAAATAATCTAAATTTAAAGATGTACTTTCAGAAGTATATGCACTTTCAGAAATATATGTACTTTCAGAGTACTTATTTGAAGTATATGTACTTTCAGAGTTGGGGAAAAGAGGGAGGGAATGAATGTTCAGCAAAAGTGAATGGAGTGCCCGAGAACAAAGAAGGATTGAGAACTACAGTAAAATATAACTGGCTCATATTCAAACAGAAAGTACTAAATTCTAATATAATTAGAAAAATATTTATAGGCATATACCCAGTAATTATAGGTTCTGTTAAACGACGAAATTTATAACCAGCATCACCAATTTTAATGCCAGTTTTTGCTTCATTTGTCATTTGCTGGCACTCACATTTTGCAGAATTCTATTTGTAGGAAAGAAAAAAAAAAATTATTTTACAAAAAATGTATTTTAAGCAAAAAATTCTGTGAAAACTTCATTAAAATAAAATATCCAAATGAAAAAATTTTTATCAAATTAGACAAATGAAATGCAAATGCAATTTATAAATATTATGCCAAATAAATCAAGGGAAATAATATTTATACATATGTGTACTTTTTCATGGTATGAAACAATTCATTACTGAACATCTGAATTTGCAATTATATGATGAAATGATTAAACATTCAAAATTCAGAAATTCAACATTTTAAAAAATTGGTATTGCAATACTAAAATTAGTTTACACTTTTTAGTTCTAAACTTAAGACTTTTAAAATTTCATTCTTAAAATAAAACAACTCACTTGACAATTATCTGTGCAACTACAACCAGCGAGAAAATTTTTGTCCAAATTTAAAAAAACGCCTCGTCCTGAAAATCTCTCAGCTGAATATTCAACATAAGGTGGAGCTTCATCAGTTAAGCAATTTACACAAGGAACAGGGACATTTTCTTTACCTTCAGTTATATCATCATTTGAATACAATATCTATAATGAAAAAAAAATTAACACATAAAAATAATTAAAATCAATTCTTAAATATACAAAATTATTCTACTTAAATATGTAAAACTTAAATACTACTTAAATATACAAAAATTTGCATGTTTTACAATACACAGTAAAAATCCAACTATACAGCATTCAACTAACTGGAGAGCTCAAATCATAGAAATATTTAAAATTTTTTAAAAACTTCTTTTTAAGGAAACAAGAGACTTAGCAACTACAGGATTATGACTTGAAACAAACAAGAACTATCACCAAACAGCTATTTAGAGCTAATAATGGATCAGTGCCATGCCTTAATGCAATCACAAGATTTCTGCCCTGGTTTTATTATGGTAACCAAATAAATTCTCAATAAGCTGATTTAGTTTTTGTAAAAAAGTCAACTGATAGCTATCTGTCTTCCCCCTCGCATTTTGAAAAGAATTATTAAAACTCTGGAACCTGCCTTAAAAGGAACAGCATGCAGCAGGAAATTTACAAAATTATGGAATTTTGGGATTAAAAAAAAGTGGGCTTTAATGGGCAGTATACGGGACTAAACGCAGATTAACAATGGTGATGCAACGTGAAAACTCATGACATGTGATTTTAAGTTTTTTAATTTTGTATCTGTAACTTGTAACTAATACAGAGCAATCAGTACTTTCAAACTTCTGCCAGAATAACTGCTACAGGTTTGGCAAAATCTTTGCTAACTTACATGGTTAATGGGATTTCTGATTGAATAAGATATTTTACTTTCGTATGTTCAAGGTCTACAGAAAATACATCTGACTTTTATGTCTAAAATGTATTTTCCCCCTAAAATTTTATATAATGTTACATGCAGGCTTTTTTTAATATTCATGCTGTTAATAAATACAATAACTATTTTTATAATTTCAGACTAAACATTTTTTCTTTCATTTGGCTTTTCTACAGTGAATTGCATTTTTTATGCTCAATTATTCAGAATTTTCATGTATCCAGGATTTCCCGACCTCTCCGTATAGTCAAACTTATAATGTATACTAAACTTCAGAGAATGAAAACTGATACATGTATGCATATGCATTATTTTTAACTTTATAACTGAAAATATTATTTTACTCATTAAATCAATCAAAATTTTGAGAGAACAATTTTATTTTTATTACTCAAATTTCCATGGATTCAGTATGAATTTATAATATAATTAATATAATTAAGTGATTTGTAAAACATTAAAATTCTACAATTAAAAAAGTAATACAGCAAATTTCTTTTATATTTACAGCCTAGGTAACAGTCACAGCATCTATTTGATGCAGTAAAGATGGCTAAATTTTAAAAACAAATGAAAAAATTACTCTAAATTTAAAACAATTATATCACTGAAGAAATAAATCATAATTAGTGGGAAGGGTAAGCCTTTCCTCACTGTATATGCTTTGAATCAAACCAAAATTTATGCATTACTTCCTCTTCCACACTGATTTTTCCCATAATATTTGAAACTTATAAGAGCGAGTACTGAAAAACCTATTCACACGAACTTTATATTATAGACAGACAATCTTTCAATGCTATCAGAAAGTTTCTTGCTGTAAAATTTTATCATCAGTGTATTACAACAATAAAACTCAAGAAGACTTCTGGTTCTTGTATATTATCCTGTCGATTGTGAAACCATCCCCAAGCAGTGCGTTTTAGCACCAATTATGGATAGATATGGCATAACAACTTGTAACATCTACACTTTCGTTTTACGTAACCTGACTGATTTTTAATATACCACTCTTTGATTTTGTAAGCAAGGATATAAATTAATTTTTATTGTTCTGATTTTCCTTTGCATTAAAAAAATTTTGAATTTGAAACTGGCCTCAATGAAGCAGTGACAGGGAAAAGTGGACGGAGCACCAGAACTTCGTCAGTGACTTTTACAGGTGTTGCTCCGCCGCACTACTGTACCCCGCTGGGCTTTTAGTTGGCCCGCATCGGATGCTAGCCTACCAAGACATTTACATAGTAATTTTACATTAATACTAGACTTACGTACTGAATATACAATTACAAAGACACAGTATACAATTATTGCAAAGAAATTAACCTATAACAAAAGTTGGATTATGGCAGATTGAATATAACATAATTACTTCGAACATACATACAAACTTTCATTGTACATTGTACTTCATACAAACAATATATTTACATTAGTATATCTAGTTACATCGAATTAAATAAACATCTTTTTAAGGAGCTAATTGGTGAAGAATTTTTTTTTTTTTTTTTTTTTTTTTTTTTTGTGCATCTATTATACTTAGTTGAATTACTAAGGCGAATTCTCTTATTAATACATTTCCTTTCATTTTTTTAACTTGTTACACACAAATGCATCAGCACTGAAGTCTTACATTATTATTTTTGTAAATTAATGTATCATAAACACAGAAAATATACATTAGAAAATCACATAATACTTACATTTACACTAATATATCTAATAGAGTCGTATATTATTTTTTAATTAATGATTTAATTATTACAAGATTTTTCCCCTTCATCTCCTAATACAGTCCAAATTCTTAATGTAACTATTTTATAAAAACTATTTATACCATATTTAGCCTGTTTCAGACACTTGCAATATTTCTGAAATCTTGCATTATTTTTGCAAGGTATGGAATAAGAGGTATTTATACAGATGTGATAACATCTTGACATATGTCTTCTCTTTTATATGCAAAAAGTTTCTTCATAATCAAGGAAACCTTTTGTTGTAATTGAGGGATCGTTAGCATGCATTTAATGTACTCAGGCGTATTTTGTGACCTTCCTTTGCAGTGTAGCTCTTTTGTGAGCTGGCACTTGAAAATATAGTGCACTGGGTCTCCCTTTTCCCCACATACGCACTTGTCTGAATCGCTCAAATTTCGTGCAAAGTAGTACGTGGGGAAAGGACCATGTCCAGATAAGAATATGTTGATGAAGAAGTTATAAGAGATTGGATCATATGTGGGTTTCTTGTAGAAGTTGAAAAGCCTTCTACCTACTTCTGCATTTTCCCATTCAGTTTGCCATTTTTTTAATGTAATTTTTTTCAACATATGTTTCACATACGATTTAGGGAATGGGACATTGATTGGAGGTAGAGATGGGTCTTGAGCTGCATTTTTAGCAAGCGCATCTGCCCTTTCATTTTGGGCTTGTCCAGCATGCGCTTTTACCCACTTTATTTTTATAGATGTTCTCTTGCGCTGTGATAATAAATCGTAGATATCTTGCACTATTGATGATTTGTTTTCTTGCATCATCGACAGCTTTAATTGCCGCTTGGCTATCACTGTAGATGGTAACATATGTTAGATGCTTTTGATGAGACCATAGAATAGCGTGTTTTATGGCTGAAAGCTCAGCTTGGAAAACGCTGTTGTTGTTCCTTAGGTGTCCTTTCCATTCTGTTGTTTCTTGTTCTGAGAGGAGTGAGAGGAGTGCAAAGAACGCGCATCCTACTTCTTCGTTTAACTTTGACCCATCTGTGTACACGACTGGAAATGAAGGTACACTGAGGGTGTCTTCTTTTGTAGATATTCTGAGTTTTGCATGTACTGCAGGGTGTCTTAGGTAAGGATTTCGTGGCTGTTCAAAATCAAGGGGGCACAGGTTTTGATCTTCTACCTCTATGTTTTTCTTGAGGTGGAATAACGTGGCTAAGTCTGCATCTTCTTTTGCTTTCAGGTGGAGGGGTGGGATTCCTGTTAATACACAGAGAGCTGCCGTTGAGGTAGTTCTGTATGCTTTTGCTATTTGTAAGAGGAAGGGGCGTTGGATCGAAGCTAAGAGTCTTTTCTTTTTCACTGTCATAGGGTGAGTCCATGCTGATGCCCCGTAGAGGATTATTTTTTCGATCACGGTATTATAGAGAATGTTTTGCATCCTCGACTTGAGGCCCCACGTTGTGCCTTGCATCCTTGCGAGGGCTCTAGAAATAGTTTGGGTCTTCTTCCGAATTTCCATGAGGTGTGGGATCCAAGAAAACTTTTGGTCAATTTTCAATCCAAGAAATTTGATTTCTTTTGAGATCTTGATTCTTCTATTATTGATTTTAATGCAAGGTAGCCTTTGTAGCGATTTGCCCGGTTTTGGAAATAAAATAATATGTGATTTGGGCTCTGAAATTATTAGTTTTTGATTGACGCAGAGGGAATGGAATATGGAGAGAGTCTCGTTACTATTCTTTTCTAGTATGTCTCTTGAATGCCCATTTGTTACAAAGGCCACATCGTCGGCAAAGGCGATGAGCTTTGTATGGTCCGGCCACTTGTAGGAGGTGATATAATTGAAGGTGATGTTCCACAGGTCTGCACTTAGACAAGAGCCCTGTGGACAGCCCCTCGTTATTCTTCTTTCTACTATACAGTTGTTGCTGATGATTATCGTTGCTCTGTTTGTTAGGAAACTATTCATTAGCTTGAATATGTTCTGAGGGCATTTAATGTTGCGCAAGGCTTCAAGGATACCAGGCCACCACACGGAGTCAAACGCATTTTTGAGATCCATGCAGAGTACTGCTGTATGGAGAGCTGAAGATTTATTCCTACGGATCTGCTCTTGAAGTTCTACTATCGCATGTGATGTAGATTTGAGAGGTCTGAAGCCGTATTGGTTGGGGCTTATGGTTTCGTTTTTTTTCTCTAAGTGGTGGCGTAATCTGCCCGCGATTGCACGTTCCAGAAGTTTACCTATTGCAGGTAAGAGGTTGATTGGTCTGAAGGCTTCCGGATCCGTAGGATCTTTATTATTTTTCTTGAATAGTATTGTTTGTCCCTGTTTGAGACAATTCGGGAAGACATAAAATTTGAGGCAGAGGTTTAGTAGTTTGTGGAACAGAAAAGGCATTGCGTGGTGAATTATCTTAATAATCCTGTTGTCTAATCCGTCAGGTCCCGGAGCTTTATTATTCGGAAGATACTTAATAATTTTTGAAATTTCTTGTGAGTGGAATTCCACATCGTCTGGAGTATTTGGAGCGGTATTATTGTATCTAATATCGGAATGTGAGTGGCCATCTTGGCCATCGTCTTCTGCATTATCTTTTAGGAAGACAACATCTAGAATATTGTTGAGAATCTTTTCAGTGACATTACCAAGCTGGCTGTTACGTGAGAGTTGATCTCTCGAAAGACCGATATGTGCGGGACTAAAAACTTTACTTGTAGCCATTTTATACAGCTGGCCGTATGTATCTTTATTACTACAGCAGTAATTCTTCCAGCTGCGTAATTTTGCTTCAGTTATTTTCTTTTTGTAATTTGCTAATTGTTGCTTGTATTTTATCCATATTTCCATTTTCAACCCTTCCGGAGAGCACTTTTCATTTTTCTACGAAGGGCCCTTTGTATGTTGCTTTTCACGTCTTAATTCCTTTGTCCACCAGTTAGTCTTCGTAATCTTGTTGTTGTTACGGAGTTTAAATGTGTTGGTCGCTGTCTCCTGTATTGTTTTGATAATTGTTTCCATTAAATCATGGACTGCATCGGGTGATGTGCATTTATCTATAAGTTTCTCCGCATACTGAAGACATGTGGAGATTTTTTTTTCTTCCAAATTGCCTTGCTTTTTGCTTTGAGATTGAAAATCTTCTTAATTTGAGGTCGGGGATTTCTTCTGATAATTCAAATGAGATGTAGTTATGATCTGAGTGGCTTGGATCATCAAGAACTTTCCATTCTTGTATTTTATTGGAGATACTCAATGTTGACAGTGTCAAGTCCGGCCATCCTTTACCATTTTGTTGTTTCAAATGTAGGAGTGTCTGAAGAGAGGTTATGTATATACAGATTGTGTGTAGCAATAAAGTCAGCTAGTGTATGTCCTCTATTATCTGTATTATTGTAATGCCACATTTGATGGTGAGCATTGAAGTCACCTGTAATCACGTGCTGTGATCTTCTGAGATTACTAAAGATATTTTCTAATGTGTGGAGATTCGGCCCCATATCCTCTCGTGGTGAGCAGTAAATGGAAGTAATTAATAGCTGTTCTGATTTACAGTTAATACTTATCGTCATCACATCTCTATGGCTTAATATAATTGTAGGGGACCATTTGGTATTGGTGACTATAATACTGGCACGTGGGTTAACTAGAGGATCCTTTTCGGTAGATTGAAATATTTGCCAGTGAAGGGGAAGGCATCTAACTTCACCTTTTACGCAATACGGCTCAGTAATGCAAATTACATCATGATTGTTATTTTCAATTACTTCACTAAGTTGTTCTGACGCCTTTTTTCCTCTGCCTAAGTTTATTTGAAGGATTCTAAGCTTGTCCTGTGGAGGCGAATTATTGTGTAAAATTGTCGTAAACAGTTGAGATTGGGGAATTGAAGGGGCGGCGGTGGTAGTACTTGATGGATTCATGTACAGAAAGGGAAGTTTAAATTAACTTAAAAGAAACTAGGTAGTAAGCTAACTATTCTTCTTGCTTTGATGTGTAAACTGCAGCAGCTTTAATTTTTGAGATTTCCCTCTGATATAATGGGCATTTGGGGGAGAATGCAGCATGTGAAGTATTGATGTAGGTTCCATATGTGCAGTTGAACAGTTTACAGTTGATACAATCCGGTACGTCTTCTTTGCAATTCCTTATGGAGTGAGGTCCGCCACAGAAAGCGCAATAAGTCCTAATATTTGCATGCACTACCAGAATGTGAGAAATCTTGGCATCTGTAGCATCTCCTCACTCCGTAGAATTCTGCGATTGGGAGAATGCTCCAATTAATTATAATTCTTCTACGTTCAGTACAATTTGATAGAATACGAGGGGAGCATTCAATTTAATGGTGTTGGGGTTTTTGCCTTTTGTGTAAAAGAGAGGTGAAATCTCCTCTTTATCAATCCTTAGTTGGTCAACTAGTTCTTCGAGAACTAATTTTGGTGGTAATGTATTCGGGATATTATTGATTGAGATTTTCGGTTTTTTAATCCTTGGTGTTTTTATTTCTATTAAGTTATTTGCTTTTTCGGAAACGTTTATGGCGTTAGTAATCTTGTTGAGTTCTTCCTTTGAAGTGCTGCTGATCGCGATGCCTCCATTCTTAATATTTGCTATATAATCAATATTGGCATTTATTTCTTTGAGGGGAAGGATCTGATTAAGTTTCTCTGTAATATGGCATTTTAGCTCGAAGCAGCATGCAGTGGATTAGTTTCAAAGTCATGGACACTACCACAAAAAATGTTGTATTAATGGCCATGATATAATCACCTGAATGCGGCCAACAAAACTTTAATAGATTGGAACAATTACTTGTAAAAAGTCTACAACGATAAGGTTTGAAAAGAAGTATCTAATAAAAAAAGGCCTAGGAAAATAGTAGAAATAAAAGGAAACTTGTTTAGGAAGAGCAATGGGTCAAATAATGATTATTTATTAAATAACAAAGTGCCAGTTCCTTCAGAATTCCACATGAATGACTAGCATAGGTTTCCATAGAAGCATCTGAGCAGCAAATGTGGAAAAGAGCAAACATTGAGTAATCAATCAAAAGACATAAATCTACATGAACTTGTCGACATACCATACTCCTTCACAGCAACTTTCAAGCCAGCTAGTAAGCTGACAAGCACATTTACAAGATAATGGTTTGTATGAAGTCAGTTACATGTTTTTAATACCACAGCAGTGGCCTGGCGCTAAAAAAATATGGACTAAGTATCATTTCTATGAAAATACTGGTACATTTAATGGTTCCCTATAAATAACCCAAGTATCCCAAGGCACCATGGCACACAGTTTAAGAAACACTGCTTTATAAACCATATGTTGTATTTAAATTTTCTCAAATTTTTAAAAAAAAAAAAAAAAAAAAAAAAAAAAAAAAAAAAGCATAAACATTGAAAGAAACTATTACAAATTTATAATGTATTCATGAAAGTGGATGGCAAAATTCATTACCTGTTTAGCAACAAAGTATGTACAAATCTCGAGTTCAGCATCAACAGAAAATAAATCAATTGTTAATCGAGATTTCACTAAATATAAATAATATTGTATTTCCAGCAAATTTCGCAAATGCCTTCCACATGGAGCTCTATACATTATCATTACTTTTGGGCCACCCTTCCTGTAATTTCTTAATTGCCTGAAAGAGAATAATTACTTTAAAAAAGTTGAACACAGATACTTTTGGAAAGAAATCAATTTATTTTTAAACAACTAAGAAAATATTTTATATTTTATTTTTAAAAATTCAAATTTAAAAAACAATGTTTATGACAATTTCATTAAATCTCAATAAGAATTCTGTTGTGGTTGTGACTAATCTTGCTGTCTGGAATCATAACAAGCCCATGGAATTCATCATGGCAAGGAGGCAAGATTGTGCCTGCTGCTGGAACAGCCTTGGGTACCATACAGGTGACAGTACAACTTAACTCAGTTCCATCCCCAATTACAATAAGAATATATTTATCAGAACCTGGCTACGATTTTAAAATAAACTATGCAAACTATTTATTGGCTCCTCTTAATAGAAGGGAATATAAGAACAATTTATTGGCTCCTCTTAATAGAAGGGAATATAAGAACAACAATCTATATAATACATCAACTATGTAACTAAATGTTTCTGAAATCAAGAGTAATTACGATAAAACATGAACACAATTCTTTTCATGCATAAGGTTCTAGAAAAATGAATGATTTGCCCCAAATGAAAGCAGCTTATTTACAAATGTATTTAATTAGGAAAGAATTAATCAGAAAACATGCTGCCGGGAATTAATCAACTGTAATTAAGCTTCTTAAAGAAATTTGTAATTATTTTAAATTTTAGGATAAAATAAATACAAGCCAACAGAGAAGAATATTATATATTATGAAAAAACTAAAATGCACAGGTTAGCACTTAAAATGTTGGCTTTTCTATACACAAATTACCATAAAAGTATACTGATTTCTAAAATCCCAACTGGTTTAGAAATTTTCACAAGCAAGATACCTAGAAATACCATAAATATATCAATTCTATTTCTAAGATTAAAATTTTGCAGCCCTACTACTTTTATCATTAATTTTAATACATACACTATTAAAAATTATTACTTTCAGTGGATGTATTAATATTATAATTAGCATCTGATCCAATTATACACAACTGGACAAATAACAAATTTAAATTTTTAAAATAAAAAACTACAGTGCGCTTAAGCAATCATCAAAGCTGCTTGAAACTGCCAGTACTGTACAGTAAAAATCATAACAAGCTACTACTATACCTGGTTTCCAAAATAAATGAAACATCAGGGTCTTTGGCTCATTACCTTATCTAAATACAGATTGACACTATCAGTGTTATTTGGCAAAAATAAATTTTTATTATTTCCAGAGTTAAAAAAATTTTACATGAAAAAAGAAGTAGAAAATTACAAGAACTTAATTTTTTATGCGGTATATTATCAAAATTCTACTAGATTTAATGTTAGTATTAATTTCCCCCATAAAATTTTATAAACTTTGGAAGACTAAAAATGTTTTACTCTTTTTATGAGTATTGGAGGGAAACAAGAACTAGAAAAACAATACAACTTAATAAATTGGATTAGAATTGGTTTCTCTGATGATAGCAAAACACTGCAGTTATATTTGCTTAAAGGGGAGCTACCTCCATAGAGGATTTTCTCACTGAAATTCATACTATATATGTGAAAAACCATGAATATGGCCAAAATTCCAGCCTATTCATCAGGATCAGGATATGGGTCAAAACACTACTGCTTAGCGGTCTTACCTATTTGGCCTTTGGTGGGCTATAAAATTTAATAAAAATAAAAATTATTGCTTAAACTATACCATAAGTATAGAAATGTTATTGCTGGAAATAAATAATGTAAGGCCTTGAAAGTGAGAAGATTTCTTAGTTATGTAAAAGTAAATTTGTTTAGAAAACAGAAAATATTACAAACCTTTCCCAGCCTAAGTACATGGGAATAAGCAAAGGGTTTCTGCCTCTATATTTATCAGGGTTTTCTTCCTCTCGACAGCCAATATTACAGTTGTGAGGTACATATTTGATTCTAGTATACGAATCGAATCGAATCCTGTCTTTATGTCCAAGATGGGATTTAACATCACGTGGAAAACTACCTAAAAAAAAAAAAAAAAAAAAAAAAAAAAAAAGTGACATCAAATAAATATAAACTGTTAACCTTACAAAAGACCCCCTCTTTTAGATATAAAACTCTAACTGGAAATTTTAAAGGAGGAAAAAACTATTTTACTGCTAGTTTGAATAAATGAAAGAAATCTCTCCACCCCCCCTTCACATACACTTCCACTGGCACTGAAAACTCATGTCACATACTATTTTTTCAGACATAACAGCATTTTGGCCTTGCAATACATTATGTAATTTCTAGGCCACGGATCTCAATTCAAACATTACTTACCAATTTCAAATGCACTGAGGTAATGCTGATGCAATTACCACCTTCATTATGAGATGGCACCACTTAAATAAATAGCAGCAAGCTCTATAAAAAGCATTGATGACAACCGGAAGGATGCACAGCTTCGGACATCAGGGAAAAATAATGAATGATGTCACATTCACCACACCTTACAATGCAATAAAATGGGTTTCACTCACGCAATGGAGCTGCAACCCAAGAGTACGATGATGAACAATATAATGCACAGAGCTCATAACTATTCATTTGGGTTAATTAAGGATTATCAGTCACATCTTTCCTGATTAAATATGTGTTCTTGGAGAAGGACTGTTTGGCAACTCAGTGACCAAGCAGCACTTGCACTGAAAAGTGATCTACATACTGATCCTGGTGATAAAAGCTTAATTCTGTCTTCAATACAAATTTGTGTGGTTTCTAAGCAGCAGACCCCAGTTAAACACCCAAAGACATTAAGGCAATAGTACTACAATTACCACTATCACTGTAAGATGGCATCACCAGATGGTACCACCGCATAGTTACAATTTGAGTCTGGAGAGATCCTAATTGGTAACATCACTCTCATGTAATGCACTTGGCCAAGGTACTGAAGGAGGGAGGTACATATGGTAATTGAAACAGACTTATAACATTATATACTACATGCAACTAATTTTCCTGATGGATCAACAAGACCGTTTCCACTTAATTATACAAATCACTCTTAATGATAACTCTGTAATTATAAATTTGTCATATACTGAGTTTAAAGAACACTTTTTCTATTTGAAGGAAGTACAAAATTAATCTCAAGTTTGAACAGTATTCAAGATTCCTTACGTTTCTAAATCAAAATAATCATCTAATCTGACAGAAGGCTATTGTTTAATAGTTTAATTCATTATTTTTAAGTGCTCATGCTTGTATTGCCCATGACATAAAATTGCAGATGAATTTTCTATACAGAATTATTTATACTTTATTAGTTTAAAATAAAAGCTTATTTTATAAAAACCTTTTTATACTTTTCAAAATTTTTATCTTTTTAGTCTCAGTGATACATTATGAATTAAATTATTAAATCATTTTCCAACAAAGAATAGTGACTTTTTTACTTCTAACAAGTGTTTATGCCAAATGATTGAAAACATTCAGTGACATTGAAGGGGGGAACATAAATTATGCTACAATCTTTTATAAACTTCATTTAAAAGAATTTTTCTGCTCTATTTGGGGGAAGCTAACAGTAAAATTTTGAGATTTTTTAGTTTATTCATTAAATGAAGCTATGTATAAAAAATTACTTCAACATAAATTTTAAAAAATCTAAATAAAATTTTGGAATGGGGTGAAAAAAAAGTTTATATCACTAAATCATCAGGTTTGAGGGCATTACTATTTTCTACAAGATTCTTTAGATAAACAATTTCCAAGCCTTCCAGAAGCATTCTTTTATAGCTTTAGAAATTTTCAAACCTTTATAACAGAATTTTGAAGATTAAAATTTTTTAATGTTAGAATTTTAAAGTCCCATAAAAGAATAAAATGCCATGTACTACAATAAAATAAAATTAAAAAAATCAACTCTAAACCCAGAAACTATGTTTTCCTGCAATCCACAGGAAGAAGCAATTTGGCATCACAATCTATACCATACTTTTTTTTTTTTAGTAAATGTAGAAAAATATGCAATTAATATTTTTTATCATTCTTGTTTTAAAATGTATGAAAAGTTTAAAATTTTATAGCCAATACATTTTTTGATGTTGAAATTTTAAAATCATAAATGTCAAATTGTTAGAAAAAACAAGTGATTATCAAAAATTTGTCAAAAAAATTATGTTAAAAACTTGATACAAACTTCATTTAAAATATTTTTTCTGCTCCATCTGATGGTGCAAACAGTACACTTTAAGGGATAATTTTGTTGGTCCCAGTCCCTTTGAATTAGGCATGTATTCACCTATTAAAGAAGGACACCGCTATTTAAAGGACAAAACAAAACGTCTGTTCCCATGGGTATCCCTTACTGGGAAGTACTACTGTATATGCAAAAAATTATTCAAGCATTATATTTTAAAAGATTTAAATCAAATTTTGAAAAAATAGCTTCATCACATTTTATCATACACGAAAAATGTGTGTATAAAATCTGAATTCAGTAGGTTAGTAGGTTAGTAGGAAGTAAGTTAAAAACTGATGATGAACTTCTAACCACAGCACCAAATATCAGATTATCAAAAATTTTTTAAACTAATATAAGAATTTATCATAAACTGAATGAAACGGGCAGGATTTTTTTATTCCGCCATAACACATTTTAAGGTTCATTGAAATAAGTATTAAATAACCCTTTTTTTTTAATACATACCTATACTTTTGTCTTTATTTTTAGCATTTTGAGCATTTGCAAGTTGACATGTTGATTTACGAGCTGTATTTCTAATTGGTTTTGTTTCTTCAGTCATATACTGTGAACCACCAGTTTTCCTCCTAGGAAATCGACTTTGTACAAAGTCCTCTTCATCTTCTAAATTAAAAAAAAATACCATCAATTTACAAGAGAAAAAATTGTTTGCTAGGCAACTGTGGGGTTTGAACTAACATGAAACACATCATCATCGAGAGCACTATATTTAGAGATATGTTTTAGCGTAAATTTACCTGAATCAATTGTTACAATATCATCATTGGTTTCATTTTCATTCGTGTATTCAACATAACCATCTTGATGTCTTCTAGGAATAATATTGTGTCTCCTGTTCTTTTTTGATAGACGGCTAAGTTCTGCATTTGCCTACATAATATATACAATTACATGTATATGATACTGCTAAGAATAAACAACAATAAATATAAATATATGTATACTTATTTTACAACTGAAAATCTGAAATATACTTGATATTTAAAATGATTAAGGATGAAATTAAAAAAATTGTTGTCACTCAATAATTCTTACCAGCAAAATATTATATACCCATATACAAACACATAATTCAAACAGACTGGGAAATTTATGAAGTGAATTCTTGTAAATAAGAAACAAAAGTTTTGTATTGCATAAAATCCAAAATTTGCGATCCATCTCATATGCATAAAATATATTGCTCATACAGACAGAATTCAAAATAAGGTGCTCAGACATCACTGTACAATTTGCAATAAATCTTAAATACGTGTTTCGTTTGGTACAGTCAAAGGTCTTTAATCCGAACCTCAAAGCTACAAACTTACTGTGCATGCATAAATGCATAATGCATTTTTGCATGCGCACAATACCTTTACTCATGCACATATGAGTTAATGCATGTGCATAATACGTTTAAGCATGCACGTTTAATGTATAACGGACAGTATAAACTAAGCTAAAATTATCTGATTATCTATTTCAATTAATGTTGCAGACTGCGTTGTTTGTTCCTTAATCTTTTATTGGATCTGGCTTATTATTTTTTGCAGACTGTTAGAGCAATTTTATAAAAGTAAGCTTGAACTTTCGATTATGTCAAAAAGAATTCCGATTCTGGAGCTGCCAAAGGATCTACGAAGCGAAAGCATGTTTCGATGTCCATCAAACCAAAAGTGGAGTGCTGAAAAAAATGGATAAAGGCATATCCTTTGTTTCTCTAACGCTTCCGAAATCTGTTTATCATTTTCATGCTGCTCTGCGGGGTTGGAGGGTTCGTGGCGCGCAATGAACTGGAAGTTGATCTGTCAGCACTATCCTTATCTTCAGGGCAGATGTTTTTATTTTATTCGGCTTATAATTCCTTACCAAATGTAGTATTTCATCTCGATGTACTCCATCTTTGATATGGTTTAAATCAAATTCCTCGTCATTATAAATACAGTCAAAAGTTGTTAATTCGGACACCCATAATCCGGAATGATCTATAATCCGGACCTCAAAGATACAAACTTTCTGCGCATGTGACGCATGCGCGTAAAACCTTTACGGCTGCAAATATGCGTGTGTGCATGCCCAAAATACGTTTACGCATGCGCGTTTAATGTATAACGGACGGTATAAGCTAAGCTAAAATTATCTAATTCAGTTAATTTTGCAGATTGCGTTGTTCCTTAATCTTCAAATTGGATCCGGCTTATTACTTTTTGCAGACTGTTAGAGCAATTTTATAAAAGTAAGCTTGAACTTTTGATTATGTCAAATAGAATTTCCAATATATATTTACTAATATGTAAAGGATCTATAAAGCGAAAGAATGTTTCAAAGTCCATTAAACAAAAAGTGGAATTGCTGCAAAAAATGGATAAAGGCATATCATTTGTTTATCTAACCATTCCGAAATCTGTTTATAAATTTCACGCTGCTCTGTGGCAGGGGGACGCTGCGGCGCGGGCAGATGTTTTTATTTTATTTGGCTTATAATTCCTTACTAAATGTAGTATTTCATCTCGATGTACTCCATCTTTGATATGATTTAAATCAAATTCATTGTCATTATAATTCACTTCCGATAGCAAAGAAAGTAAAGTAAACAAATAAATATTAAGCTTTTTCTTTTTGTAAATTTTGATACCCTTTAGATCATAATTGTTCTTTATTTCATAAATTACGATTTCATATTTTTAATGTTGTAATTTCTGCATGCCATCTTACCAGATTTAAACTGATGATCTATAATCCGGAATCTCCGAAGTCCCGATGAGTCCGGATTAACGACTTTTGACTGTATCACGAATACACATCAAATGGTTTTCTGGTTGCAATTTTCTAATTTCGACTATGCATAATGTATGCTTTATGCATGCGCATGTTGAAAGCAAAGTAAACAAATAAATATTAAGCTTCTTTTTCTTTTCTTTTTTTTTTTTTTTTGTGTAAATTTTGATACGATTTAGATCATAATTGCTCTTTATTTCATAAATTACGGTTTCATACTTTTAATTTTATAACTTCTGCATGCCATCTTACCAGATTTAAACTGATCATCTATAATCCGGAATCGCGATCATCTATAATCCGGAATAATTTCATTTATTTGTTTTATAACCTTAAAAGATTAGTACTTTTTCAGTCACTACATAATAAATTCTTATTAGAAACAATTAACTGTGGGTATACAAATATCTACGATTTCTTTCCTTAAATTACCCCCAAGCATCAAATTAATGCTACATCACCCGACCCCCCCCCAACACACACACACACACACACACCCAAAAAAAAAAAGCAATCAAGACACTTCAATTTAAAACCTCTAAAAAATTTACAATTACATCCTCAGAAAGTAAAAATAAATATAAAAAACAAAATAAGAAATATAAAAATTGCTATATCTAAAGCAAATTTCAATTTGATCTTGATATGCAGCTGAAGCAATTTTAAATTAAGCAATTAAGAGAGGCCTAATATACTTTAACATTTTAAAAGAGCCACTTCAAGGTTATACCAACACTCCTAATATTTTTTGTGATAACGTATGCCGCTTTCATCATTGCACAGAGGGAATTAAGGAATTTTAAAGAACATTATTGTGATGCTTTTATCGTATTTTGAGTACGCCGCACATTAACATGTACACGATCTGGGCAATTCCATTAACCATACATGTGTAGTATAGGACAGGACTTTATTTATGACACAAAGAAATAAACAGATATAATTTACATAAAGTTAATAACATAACAATTCTTCTGGTTGGTAGCATAACATAGCTATACTTTATTCATTACATTTTACATCATGATGTCTCTTCCGACTTGGTGTCTCATGAGCGAGAGGCAAAAGCATGTGATAGTTATGTTAAAGTGTGTATGCGAGGCATATATTAAATCATGGCAATTTTTTTGGGGGGGGAGAGGAAAAAATGCTCTGAAATGCCTATTCTAAAGTAACAGATTAGAGAAGAACTAATACTTCAGAATTTAAATTACAGAATATACATTTTTATAGCTAAAATGAGCTGTAGATAAAAAACAAATAGTAAAAACACAGTATTATTTCATCACAAATTAATGATATATAAATACTTCTGCACTAAATAAAAGATAATTTTTAATTATTCAAGATTTAAATATGCATTGTTTTCACAGGACCACTAGCAAGCATGGCTTTTTTTTCCAGGATGCAAAATCTGTGAACTTGAAAACCTCAAAAAGGCTTGCTTGAGGTTTTTTCTTTTCTTTAAAATCATTTAGAATTTCAACTTAACATGCAAATACTTCTTAACTAGATTTCCAAACGTGAAAATTTGTATCTTGAGTCAAGTGCATGGAAAATAAGTATTCCAAAATGTATATGAGATACTCAGTAAATATATCCATTCAAATTGCTGCAGTAGCCTGAAAAGCACATGCTAGTTTATGGTTCACTGTTAGTGGGTATGCTTTGAGTGTTTCAGCAGAGTCTTCCTCATGGTAACATTTGTGGGTCAGATCAGAAATGCGATGAGAAAGAAAGACTTGCATTGGCCTGTTTGAAGACAGAATCTGGGTCTAAGTTATAAGAGTGAAATACTTTTATCTTGTCACAGAGCTCTTCAGTGGCAAATTGAAGGAATTTAATTCCTTCAAATTAAGCGTTGCCTGTCTGCCATACACCTTCCCTAATATGTTATGCTAATGAAGATATACAACTTGTGATTGATGAGACATTATTCTGTGCATGAAATTCTCCACAAACAGTTGCATTGCAGACCATGAAAGCCTCAATGATGTCCAAAAGTTGTATCCTGATGAGTGTGATAGGTGTCTTGAATTTTGTGAAGTGATGCTCGCAAGGTATGACAATGATCCACAGCTGTTTCAAAAAATTCTGTGAAGTTACAAAGCTGTGTTTCATGTTGGGGAGTATTAATCATCATAATATCCATTTTGGGGCAGAAATTGATCCCAAGGAGACTGTTGAAAAAATGCAGGGCAAGCCAAAAGTGACAAGTGTGATGCGGATTAACTTCTTGCGTTATTGGACCGTACCTGTTGAGAGAAACTATGAGCACTGAACAATACCTGAAAATGCTACAAACTTTTTTGTTTTGCCTACAATTCCTGAATGGGACGAGTTACAGGACCTGTCATTAATGCAAGATAGAGCTCCCCCCCCTCACTACGCCTTGGCTGTCAGGCAATCGCTTGACGAGCGATTCACTGGACAATGGATAGACCGCCGAAGCTTCATTGAATGGCCTGCGTGCAGTCTAGATCTCACCCCATGCAATTACTTTTTATGGAAGTGGGGATAAGGAAGAAGTGTACTACAGAAAACTTCAAACTTCTGGTGTACTTGAGAACAAAATCCATGAGGTCATAAGTTATGTTCCTGATGAGTTCTTGTGGAAGGCTGTAGCAAATGTGCCTATTTGTTTAAGACAGTTCATAGAAAATACTGGGGTACACACTGAATTGTAACTTTTGTAATTATCATGCCATAAAATAAACTAAATGTGTACAAAAAATTATCGTCATACCTATATTCAGTTAGGAGAAAAAATTTATTTCCAGTAGGAAGTTACTTTCCGCCAACCCAGTAGAATTTGCACATGGAGCATACTTGGTCAAAAGTGCTCACCTTATGTAATCTTCAAATAGCATATGTACATCACATACAGTACTACTTACTACCTGATGATCTATTATAACATCCATCATCTTTCAAAATCCATCACAACACTTGAATGCCCCACATTTTGCAACCTACTGTACTTACTACAACATTCACATTCTACAATCTACTGTACATATTACATCATTCACTACTGTATTGCTAAAGCAGTTGTGTCTGTTAAGGAGCCATTTTCCAGCAAGAGAAGGTGCATTCACATACTGTGAACTGTTTCCAGGAAATCTATATATTTAAATAATCCTTCCTTAATCTACTAGTTCCCCAAATCTTTCTTCAATCAATAACCCCCAAATATGGAGTTTGCCAGAAGATGTCTTGCAATACCTTCCTGAAAAATTACAAAATATCCTGCAGAAAATTCTACCAGGGCATATTCAATGTATGATTCTGGAAAAGAAATGGACAGGGACCACCTGCTTCAATGTGGGGCTCTTCGTGGTCTTACAAGGGAGTCGAGATACTGGAAGGCAAGAGCACCCCTTAGGCAATGACTTCAGTCTTTTTGTTCTTAGTTCTATTGTTTGTAACTTCTGCTTGTACGATTTAGTTCTTCTTAAATTTTTTCGTAGCCATTGGAAAAAAAAAAAATTCAATGTTTACTAGATGTACTCAAGCATTATTATCATACGCAATCAATCATATTAACACACGCTGGTGCCTAACTTTTATTTCCTCAATATACAAATTGAAAACAATCTAATTTTAAGGTCTTCATTTTCGTCTTCTCTCTACTCCAAGCAAGATTCAGCATGATCAACTAACTTTTCCAAGTATATGACCATAAAATCAGGTTCTATATTTGGCACAGTATGGAAATGTACTTGCAAATTTTTTTTCAATATACTCTGCAAACCAAACAGCATTAAAAACTCAAGAACATACTGAAATTATAACAAATTCTTTGTTTCCCTCCCCTTAATGCAGCAGTAATTTACATTATGAGTATGATTAAATAAAACTGTTCAATTTTTTTAAATGCAAGAACATATTGTGAAAATCTTGTTCAGCACTAATAGAATAATAACCAATTTAAAGACAGACTGCTTATTTTATATGTGAAAAAGCTATGTGAAATTCGTTGTATTTTACATATACAGTGCGTATAATTCATGGCTGAAACATCTAATTCATACAAGTTACTTTGCATGCACAATTGATAATGTTTGTAAGAATATCCTAGATATTATAATCACATTTAATAGTTTTAACATCCAATCAATAAATACTGGAGTAGTATACTTGTATTACTCCACTTCAGTATTTATTGATTGGATGTTAGAGAATATTTCTAACACTTACAAGCTCATTGTACAGCAACTTTAATCTTGTAGAACCTCTGTATAACCACTCAGTCCTGTCAGTTTCAAGAAACCTCATTTTTATCATACTAGCATCAACTTCTTCTACTATGGTTTCACGCCTGAAAAAAACATTTATCAGAATTAATGAGATTTAAATAATTAAAGCAGTAAAACATTTTAGTTTTTGGAACCCCTACTTTGAAAGTTTATTATTACTGATTTCTCTTAGATTAAGAAAGCATTTATCAAGTTTAGTAACAGATTTTGTCAGTCTGTACAATTAGATTGCACATATCAGGGTTTAATGAAAGTTTCCCACCACTGCAAATATTGTCTGTGCAAACAGTTTGCATTGGCGTGTTTTATGTTTTCTCAAACAATTTTTGGCATCTGAAATAAAGAGACTTGCTTTAGAACACTGTGTTGTAATATTTGTAAAAGAATATCATTGTTATTAAGCACAAAGTATCTGACATGGAATTATTCTGCTACCAGATAAAAACCATCATATATTTCCAGTTCTCTTGGAAAAGTCAGCTACAGAATGTCACCAAATCATGTGCACAGCTGTAGGTACTAATGTTGTATCATACAACACTGTGAAGGTTTGGTACTGAAAAGTTTAAAAACAAGGATTATGACATTCAAGAAGCACAGCACTCTGGCTGGCCTACTGATGTTAATGAGGCCTGCCTGCTGAGAACTTGTGGAAGAATATCAATATGCAACCAGTTGAGAGCTTGCAAAGGAGTTAGAAGTTAGTGCCACGTCCATTAGTCGCACTATACATTGCAAAATTTGACATACAAGTTCAATTGCTGGGTGCCACATGAGCTGACTCAAGCAGATAAGGAGAGATGTGTTGGGGCCTGCACTAATCTGCATGAATTTCAACACAAGGAGAAAATTCTGGATCGGATCATCACTTATGATGAAAAGTGGATTTACTTCAACATTGCAGGGCGAAACAGGGTTTGGTCTGCACCCGGTGAGCCCATTGGCAGCATTGCAAAGTGCATTTGACTAACAAAAAGAGCATGTTTTGTATCTGGTGGGATTGCCATGATATTACCCACAAAGAATATCTGCAAAATGATAAAACCCTCGACAATAAGGCGTACAAGTGAGACACTAGTCCATGTTGATGGTGCTATCAGGGGTGAACTGAGCTCCGGCACAAAAAGGTAATGTTTCATCAAGATAATGCAAGACCACATGTGTTTGGATTCACTGCCTGGACTCTCTACAGACTCAAATGATATCTTTTGCCACAGCCACCATATAGCCCCAACATCCCTCCTTTTTTTGCGACACTTAAAAAGTTGCTATAAAATGTGATAAAAGATGACTGAAAAGGACTTCCCTCTTGCTTAAACAAATTTTTCTAATTTCAGCACTCTCTACTTAATTCCACTTGTATTTTTTCAATTTTCTTTCTCATACATATGTCTTGAATACAAATTCTTCATCCTATCTGGGTTTTATTTACCATATTCAGTACTTCTTAGAAAAACTTGATTGATTTTATTCTTCGTACTAACAAAAAATAAATCATGTAGTTGACACACCTGATACAGTTATCTCCAAACAAATTTCCTACTCACATTTCTAATGATCTCTTCATAATCTAGTGGTAATCAAGTGTACACAATATGGAGCTGGTCTTAAACTTAAACCCAAGTTTCTCAGACCCTATAAAATCGTGAAAAACAAGCCAAATGACACTTATGATGTTGAAAAATGTGGTTTCTTTGATGAACCTATAAAAACAAGCACTTGCGCCGAATTTATGAAACCTTGGACTTCATCAGAACATATTACCTGAATATTTTTTATTTTTCTAGGTGCTGTTATTAGAAGATCCTGATAGAATATTATTTTCATTTATCTCTTTAATTTAGTTTTTCCATTTATCTGTATTAATTTAGTATTTTAATTTATAGTATTAGTATTTTTCCTTTTTACTTTATTTTATACGTCATACATTAAATTTCACTGTTTGCTCGTCATCTGAGGGCAGATGACTATGTCAGATGGCCGAATTATGTGGGAACTGTAACTAAAATTATGTGAAAGAGCCATCTAGATTAGAGTGTGGTCAGATAAGACGTGAATGATAGTGAGGATGAATGTGTATAAAATGTTTTGACAACTTTTCTTTTACTTTTATTTTCATTTTAATGTTCATAAATAAATCCTACTTTAACTTTATGAGTTGTAGTCATGTTTATCATCAAGTCTTCCCTATAATAATGTATACATATTATTCTTTCCTCCAAATTGCAGGTTCATTATTTAGCCTATAGATATCCGAGTAGTGCGTGAGCTGAAATGCAAATATAAAGTAGCCTTTTTAAAGTCCATGTTAAATTTCTTAAATAATGGCAAAACTACTCAAGAATTTAAAAAATATTTAGCATAAAATCTGCTGCATGGAGCATTGCAAGATTGTGGGGAGGATGTGTCTCCAGACACTTTAAAAAATACTTGCATAATTTAAGGTCAGCTACCAGTGAGGCTGATGAAGATGATAGCCGCAAATTTGAGGGGGTTTGGATATCGTAAACCAAAGGTGAGATTTACCAATTAATGTATTTTGTAAAGAAATGTGCAGAAGCTGTAATAAGTGAAGTTGATATAACAGAAGTTTTTCATTGCAATCACTATGCCTAATCATCAATCAATTAATGGACAGAGAAATAAGACAGAGAAAGAAGCAGGGAAAGTTTATTTCTTGCTGGAATTATTTTATAATTAAAGAACCTGATGTTATGTTAGAGATTTTAAAGCAAAGAAGATTCAACGTTAAGTGACTATTAAAAACCTTTGAAACAAGTCCTGCAATTGTGCTGATTCTTGTCAACTTCAGTATCTCAAATATTTTTCTTCGCCGTGTTATTGTAACTGATATTGAGTATGATATTCTTTTTACCGTTTTCAGAATCTATAGATTTTCATTTGTGTATTGTTTCTTATAAATAGTATATAATATATGCATTTCGTGATTATTGCTCAATTCTGTTGCTATTGTTGAAATTATTTCTTTCCCCCTCCGATGGAGTCAATTTTTTTAAAATTTTTTATCGTCTGTCCCCGACTAGGTCATGTGACCGGCGGCAGAAAAAGAATGTAATAACTCTTTTAGTTTAGCTTGAGAGTGACGCTTGAAGCTTGAGAGTGACGCTTGAAATAAGCTTTATTTATTGGCCGCATGGCGGTAATCAGCAATTACAATATTTTCTTGAAGTATTCAATCTTGGCCCTATGATGAGTAATTTTATACTACATGTAAATTTCATGTTGGAATAATGTATATATTGTAAATAGTTTCTTCATTAGATCTTACTGTATTTCAATTGAAACTTGTCATTCTTGAGTTCTTTACATGAAAATGGATATATTGACTCTTGATTAGAATAACCACACGTTCCGATTTTGGCGGGACATTCCCGCTTTTTGGAGGACTGTCCCGCGTCACGCCGATTTTTAAAAATGTCCCGCTTTTTAGAAAACATCTGCATTTCTTATTTTAAATGTACTGTAAAAATATATTACCTATTATTTATCAATTATTAGCAAATAGTGAACATAAAGAAAGAAAAAACCACATAAAATGCATGCACAGTAAACTAAATTAGGCGATGTAACGAGTTAGATTTACTGGGTGGCTGCTTGATCATTGTCGTTACGTCTCATCAACGAATATGTATTGTTAACGAAGGAACAGCTAGCATTAGCTGAAGGGCTGTTTGCGTTCCACACCATAAACCACAATCAAAGTTTCAGATCAATAGATTGTACCTCGCAAATGATCAAAACATTGTACGACAAAAAATTTGCATGTGCAATTATACCGAAATTAACTAGCTAGCATTAGCAATTATACCATTTTGCATATGCAAAAACCGAAGCAATTATTTGTAATGTTTTTTCACTATATTCGTTTTCAAAACTGCAGAAAGAATTAGATAAGTGCACATATATATCCATATTATACGATGCTTCCAACCACAAATATTTAAAATTATTTCCCACAATTGTTAGACTTTTTGATCCAGAAACAGGAATTAAAACCAAAAAATTATTGGAGTAGGTTGTGCAGCGCACATTCTACACAATACTATTCAAACAGCCTCTGACTTACTTCCAGTGGATCTTGAAAATATTATTGCAAAAATTTTTTCTTATTTTTAATATATACTGTGCATGTTGAAAGTTTGAAGATTATGAAGCACAGAATCAAATATAAAAGAATTGTACATTAAAAAGGAGATTTTATGGGAATATGTGGAAAAATCTTTTTAATATACATTTGAAAGTCTTTAATCTGGATTCGTCGGGACTTCGGCGATTCCGGATTAGGTTTTTTTCCGGATTATAGATCATCAGTTTAAATCTGGTAAGATGGCATGCAGAAATTCTAAAATTAAAAGTATGAAACCATAATTTATGAAATAAAGAACAATTATGATCTAAAGGGTATCAAAATTTGCAAAAAGAAAAAGCTTAATATTTATTTGTTTACTTTATTAAACATTTCTTTCAATGTAAGTTGTTTAAGTTTTGCTTCGTTTCATGTGATAATACTTTCTCTTTAATTCTATTAAACAGACATAATTTCTTGTTCAGTTACAAAGTTCCGCTGTTCAAGTCCTATAATTGCTGTGTCGAGAACACCGACTAATTTGTCAATCGAAATTTTTTCGTTTTCAATAACCTCTGTCACTTTTCTTCGCTATCGGAAGCGAATTATAATGACGAGGAACTTGTTTTAAATCATATCAAAGACGGAGCATATCGAGATGAAATACTACATTTGGTAAGGAATTATAAGCCAAATAAAATAAAAACATCTGCGCTGAAGATAAGGATAGTGCTGACAGATCAACTTCCAATTCATTACGCGCCCGCCGCGGCGTTCCCCCCGCCGAGCAGCGTGAAATTGATAAACAGATTTCGGATTTCAAAACATACTTTCGCTTTAGATCCTTTACATATTAACAAATATATATCGGAAATTCTATTTGATATAATCGAAAGTTTAAGCTTACTTTTATAAAATTGCTCTTACAGTCTGCAAAAAATAATAAGCCGGATCCAATTCGAAAATTAAGGAACAACGCAATCATCAACATTAACTGAAATAGATAATTAGATAATTTTAGCTTATACGTCCATTATACATAAAACGCGCACGCGAAAACGTATTCTGCACTTGCTCACACTCATATGCGCAGTCGTAAAAGGTCTTATGCGCATGCGTAAACGCCTATGCGCACGTGTCAACGTGGCGCATGCGCAGAAAGTTTTTAGTTTTGAGGTCCGGATTATAGATCATTCCGAATTATGGGTGTCCGAATTAACGACTTTTGACTGTACCCTTTAGATCATAAATGCCTCATTATTTCATATTTTTAATTTTATAATTTCTACATGCCATCTTAGTAAATTTAAAATGATCTAAGATTCGGAAAAACTCCCAAATCCAGGATCACCAACCAATCAAGTCCCAACGAGCCCGGACTTTGGACTTTGTACTGTATTTATCAATATTGCACAGTGAAGGCTTTGCATGGAGGAACTGCTCCAGAGGGCACAATTAAAGTGGTGTTGTCAACATCTCAACTGGACTACATTAGATTGGCAAAACATCCTGTTCATGAACAAGATCTGCCTTGAAATCAAGATGATAAGCATGTAGGTCTTGAACAGAACAAGGCACCTGGAATTAAGTCTAGAACTGCAATACATATAATGTGATATATGTATTGCAGTGGCAGCATCATATGATATAAACTGGAATTTCAATGGGATATTGCATCCAGCTACACATCTTAAAAGATGGTTCCATGATGGTAACACAATATCGGGATGAAAACTTACACTCCACTGTAAGATTAAGGTGGTCTTGATTTTCTCCTTGTGCATGATAATGATCATATATATCACTTCAACACAATCAATCCAATGATCATTAAAGCTCTTATTTTTTCCTCTGCTGCTTTCCTTTATCAGTGTGTGAAATATAAAAACCAGGGTTCTATATATTAGCATCTTCTGGTTGTATTTTACGAGTTCTCTTGTTATGTCTTTCTTTTTTTTTTTTCCGGAGGGGAGGAGCTGTTGTTATTTCTCGCTTGCTGTGCTGCAGACCATAAAAAGATCACATGGGGACATAAAGTCTGCCAAGAGGGTCCAGCTGCAACCCCTTGCATCACATCAATCCAACATCATTAACAAGTACCTAAAGAGTAAAGGCATTTCTCATATGGAGTGGCTGCCATATTCTCCTAAATCTTAATCCCATTCAAAATCTTTGAGATGTCCTCAGATGAGCCATCACTTCATACTTACTTCCTCCAACCAGTTTCAGGCAGTTGAAAACTGTGCTAATGGAGGAACCGACATTGCTAACATTTGTTGATGGTTGATCACTCCAATGAAAGCATGGGCAATCACTAAAGTTTGTCTGAAGGTAGGTGATCACGTATCTTATTAATGTAATTTTGCTTGTTTGTTTTTAGCTTTAAATGTCATCATCTTTGAATATCTATGTTAATGACCCAAATGTAATATTATCATACAAGTTATGAAAATTCAGTAACGCTTTCATCTTTGTACGTAATGCTTGTTCCCCCACCCACCGATGCATAAAGACATCTGCTACCTTCATATGCAATATGGTGTTAATCAATGCTTATTTTTCCTTTTTGTTGATTTTACCATCATGTGCTTTTAACTTTTGAAAGCCAGTATACACAATCTATCACAGAATGTTAAAAACTTTTATGATAGTCATGAAATAACTATCATAAATTATGATAGTCATGAAAGAATAACAAAAAGAAAATAATAAAAGTGAAAGAAAATCAATAAATAAACTTGATTGAGATTATTATATTGAGAAGTCCATGTAAAATGATTAACATGCACTACATTAAGCAACAATGTTATAATGCTGAAAACAGAAGAAAAATATCACACATCCTTGAATGATAACAAAACCTACTCATAACTCACATGATTTTTTATCATAACCTGAAAATAGTAAAAGCTTTCATGTTGTTAATAAAAAGGAAAGTGAAGGGGAAGAAAACAGATATAAACTCTATGCTTCTTTAGCAAAATGTTTCTTACCAGTGACTGTATAGCTCTGTTTTAGTAATCTGACCAACTTGCAATTTCACCATTGGGCGCTAAATGATAATTTCGTAAATTTAAGTAGATATTCATTTAAAGACATTAATCACATAATTAAACAGAAAATTACACTAGTCTGCTTATAAAAAAGCTAAGGTTATACGTATAAGAAAAAAAATAGATATAGGAATAAATACGGTACCAAACATTTAAAAAAATAACAATAAACACTTGAAATAGACTCCAACCTACAGAGAAAATTGTCAGTAATCAATGCATTTACATTTTTATGACTTTCAAAATGTTCATGCAAGAAATATTTTTTTAATTAGCCAGTCTACATTATGGAGATAGGCCATGTTCATTTCGTGACATGGCGATTTTGTTGTTGTTGTGTTGAAATTAATTAGCACACATGAGAAGTGTGGTGCACAAATTCCCCATGTCCTTCAAAATGGTAATGACCTTTGGGTTCGATCATGGATCTGTTTCGATTGAGATAAATATTGCTGCATGTGTATGGGTTTGTAATAGACTGAATGTACACAGAACCGATGATAGCTAAGTAAAATTTATTCATAGCAGAAGAAATACTTTACAATTCTGGTACTTACCACGAAAGCACTTCTACAACTCTTCTCAGTATCAAAGAGCACAAACAGTAGTTATACTTCAAACTACTAAGAATGTAAATGCAATTCAGAGTGCATCTAAAAAAACAAAGCTCCTGCAGAGATTTCTCAGTACTCTGAACTCATGCTAAACTTTAAAAGGGGGAAAACTGATACTCTCTTCAGTCTTATATAGTGTTCTCCTGGCCGCTGAGAAATCTAGCACTTTCCACTTCTTGAAATTACTGCTAGGCATACAAAGGTCGGAATGGTTACAGCTATATCGTTAGCTTGGCGATATATCGCCAATTCACCAAGAAAACCATTTCCTCAATGTTAAATACATTTGCCCCTGTATCTTATTTTTTCTGGCAAAGCTTCGCCTCTTTCAAGCGTTTCGTGTTACAGTATAGAAAAAATACTCCAATTTTACAATTTCATTAAAATTATTTAAATATATACAAATCTTTAAAAAATATTTTAACACTGTTGCAAAAGTCCACCTGTGTGACAGATTCAGTTATTTCAATAGTTTCATACTGCAAGCATTCTTTGAGATTGCTACACACTCACACCCAAGCATTTTTATGCGATTTGAGATGGGACTGTTTGTCATAATTTGAGGCTCAATGCATGGGTGTCTAGCTGAACCCAATGTTGCACTGTGGTGCTTGTGATATTTAATTTTTGCCTACAAGTAGGCAGAGATGCAAGTTCTTGTTGTATCCAGGGTCTTCCAACTGTGGCTGTTCCAAGGTGTTATGCTTGCTTCTAGACTGGATTTGTTGATGCCTGTTCATGTTGTGATCTATGGGCAATGACATGAAGTGCAGTGCATGAGTTTTCCATGTCCTTCAAAGTGGTAAATAACCTTGAAATTCGGCTGTGGGTCTGCTTCATGCGGATTAAGTATTTTACAGCTATTGCAAAAGTGCACCTTTGTAACAGCTTCAAATGGTTGAATTATTTCATGGCATGAGTGTCGGATTGGTCTAAAGATCATTATACATTGGCAGAACTAAGATATTTAACTCATACGAAACAGACTCACCAATGAATCCTAAGGACATTTATCATTTTGAAAGAAATGGGGAACTTAAAGACATTTTTAGATATTTGAAGTATTTTGTTATGTGAGTGCCTAATTGGCCCTCAAGATTGCTACATACTCGCTCCCAAGCAATATGAGGAGACACTGACGGGCCATTGTGATTTGAGTCTGTGTTATGGATGTGGTTGTGAGCTCTGTGGATTGATGTGATTGATCACTGCATTAGTTTTATGACATCCGAGTCACCACTGTGGCCATGCTGGGACATTAAGCTTGCTCTATGACTTGGTTTGTTGCTTTTGCTTGCTCATATCACCATGTATTAGCCCAGATGAGAAATACGGTGCCCCATTTCCCCATGTTCTTCAAGATAATAAAGGATTTTAGGGTTTGATGATGAATCTGTTTTGTGTGAGTTAAATACATCAGCACTATCGCAAAAGTGCACTCTTGTAAATGTTTTAGTAAACTATTTTGTGGCGTAAGCATCTGACAGGCTCTCGGCATAACTACAACATTTATTTTAAAACCCGTAAATAAAAAATAAGTAATTAGAAATACTTCTTATAAATTCCACGCATATTTAATTTATCTACTAACATACATTACTGAAGCAAATATTTTTAATCACAAATAAACATTGGGGAAGTCAGAATTCATACACCAGATATCTTTATGGGGTTACTGAATTCTGGATTCCACAGGGGAAAAAGATTAAAATTCTAGATAGAGACTAGAAACATACATCAAAAACACTTGTAATTTATTTATAAATTACAAATGTGAACATTTATAAGAAGCATGCTTAGATCTGCTTGCATATCTACTTTTTCTTTTGAGAATTTCCATTCTTCAAATTTGGTCAAAATGTAGTTGATTTTTCTTGATTATAGAAAAAGTTTACTTCACAAGTTACCTTTGAATCAAGTGTTACTGCAAGAAACACAACAGGCAATACTTCATACTTAACGCACCCATTTTTATCTTTTAATTTTAATATATCTCCCAATGCCCTATCAATAAGCAAATCTGCAACTTCTTTGAAGTCATTTATATGATACACAGAAAATTTAACTTTTACTTGATCAAGATATTTTTCATTAATAACTGAAGCGAAAGCATTTGTTAGAACAACTTTCACTTCATTATCTCACCACCAGATGGCTGCACTATGCAGGAAGCAGTTTATTCACAGTTTCAAAGATGGCTTGCCTGCTAGTGTGGAAATGTAGAAAATATAATAAATATAAAGAATGATTAATTGTAAAGAAAATACTGTTTGTTTGTAAATATTACAAATTAATTTGTAAGTGTTTTGTAATTTTTCGTTTTTTAATTGTTCTAAGTCCTATTTTACTTTGTGTTTTTCAACAGCAACTTTGAACTTGAAGTGAGAGAGTGTCTCTGAGTTGGGAACCATGTGTTGGACTATGCATGTGGAGTTTGTGTCAATAAAACTCTTGCATTATTTAATTTAGATTTTGCTGACTTACTTTACTGTATCAATATTGGTTGAATCGCTAAAATAATTTCTCTCCAAACATGGCAATTTGATACCTCTAAGGACTTGATGACCCTAGTGTGCAGGGCACTGCAATGTGCATAATCTCAATGCATCGACATAATTTCCAGTGTAGAAGAGACTTTCTTCTATTTTAGTGTTTCTAGACAATGTGCTCAACTTTTCAGAACCAGTATCTTATGATTATTAATTTCCTTTTGAGTTTTATGATTTTTTATATATATATATTTTACAGAGTGAAGCATAAAAATGCCTGACACAAGTAGTATAACGTGATGTAAGCTAGAAGCAAGCAAAGTGAGTGTAAGATTCCCCCATTCTGGATTGATAGACAGAGATATGGTTCTATACTGTTGAAGCCCAATTTAAAATTGCAGGAATTACATCAGAAGAAACTAAATTTAATATTAGTGGCTCAGCTGGATTAAGTTTGTAGAAAATTATGGGACATTACAAAAGATGAAACTGCAACTAAATATTCAGCGCAAAAGAAAGGCTAACAAACTTTTAAGAAGCAAAAATACGCATATAAAAGATTATTGATGGTTTGGAACTTGATGCTATGAAGCCAAACCAACTGCTGAGAAAGATGAGAGCGCTTGTGATAATAACGATGTTGATAAAGTTTACAAACTTCTGGATGGAAAAGTTGCCTGATGCAGTCAAATATCCTTAAGTCAGAGATGAGAGTCCTTGAAATAATAGCCCAATGCTGATAAAATTGTGATGGGCCATGAATGGAACTTGCAAGTGCAAGTAATGATGCCTCTCCAGTTAATGAACTTCTCACCAAAATATCTGCTTTGGAGCAGCAAATAGCTTCACTCAGTGTGCAACATTCCAGATCACAAACTTGTAGTCCCAACCATAGCCATAGGAGTTGCAGCAGATCTCAGAAACGATATAATCCCAAAGGGAAACTGTGCTATTTCCACTTTAAATTTGGGAAAAAGTGTTTTCCACCTTGCAGCTGGAAACAGACGGAAAACTCCAGCCAGCAGTAGATTCAGCGGCTAGCTCTGCTGCTAAACACATGAATAGGCGTAAGTTCCGGTTATTTGTAATGGATAGAAATTCAGGACTAATGTTCTTAGTGGACAGTTGAGAGGATGTATCATTGCTGCAAGCATATTCTACAACAAAGGGATCGTGTGACTCAAATTAATGCTGCTAATGGGACAGAAAACCGACTTTGGTATACTGTAGATTTAGGACTGAGACCCCATTCCAATGGCCGTTCATCTTGCCAAGGTAAGCAAAGGCATTTAGGGCAGATTTTTTTAATCAATTCATTTTAATTGATATAAAAAAAAAGAAACAGTTAATTGATGCATTACTCAACTTAAAATCTCAAGTGATATAATGTCAATTGGTGTTGATCATGTTATATCTACCATAAAATAATTTCTTTCCAAACATGGCCATTTTGATACCACGAGGACACATTCACCATGAAATTTCATTCAGCAAGCTCTCTTCTTAATCAATAGACATACGGAACTTGTGGTTACAAATTAATATTTACAGTTATAAACAAAAGCATTCTTCAAAAGTAATGAATATAATTTGGTAAGAGCTTCCCACTGTTCCAAAATTCTTCTTATAGACTATAAAAAGGCATCTTGTACTGCAGTATTTCAAAATTTTAGTGTTCTGTCTCAAAATTGGTTGAGCAAGTTTGGAGCTATGCTTCCTTTTAGGACTTTTCTTTAAATAAATATATGCATCTGTCACCAAAATTTCTGCTTCTCAATCAATTAGCATTTCAGTTGCCTCTTCCCCCCCCCCCGAAGCTATATGGATGGACAACTATGGATGACTATAGCTCATTGTTGCATTTTCGCAAATACTGCAGCTCCCTTTAAATTTT